CTGGCTCTTACCCTGGGGGTCTTTAAGACAAGGCTAGACAACCACCTTGCCGGGGTTGTTTAACCCCAGTACTCTTTCCTGCCATGGCAGGGGGTCGGACTTGATGATCTGCTCAGGTCCCTTCCAACCCTACTAACTATGAAACTATAGGTTTAATAATAAAGCTAACTTCACTAAAAATCATTGGAGTGATACAGATAGGTGAACTACTCAGTGGCAATACTCAGGAACTATTCCTCTCCCTCATATGTACCCAGAAGGAAAGCCAAACAGCAAAACACAAACTGTAAACTGCTGTTTCACACAAGATCAATTTATGCCATGGAAAGCTGCTGTTCACTTGGTGGGTCACTCTGCTCTGCATCCCAATGTCAAACAAGCACTATACAAACAAACATATTGCGGGGCAGCAGCAAAAGCCAGTTCCTGTTTTCTTTTGAAGCAAAATTACTCAGAATGGTGATTCAAAAGGGCTGCCTGACCCCTGTGTCACTCGTTTTACACACTGGAGTAGTTCCCCTGGCTTGATCCTGGAGCCTCAGAGCCCCTGAGTTTGCAGCACATCGCAATTTGCACAGAAAACAGTAAAATTATGAAAGTGAATAAAAACATTTTCCATACCTAGCCTATACAATATTAATCCTCTGTTATAATACGGAATTTCAAAATCTGGTTGTGTTTGGATGGCTGAGGTGTAGTCATCCATTGCTTCATAGAAGTCAACTCTTAAGTACTTGATCTGTCCCCTGTTATTAAATGCGGTCGCAAGGTCCTGAGCAGCACACTCGCTTAAGATGAGAAGAGAGAGCTCCATTAGGATTCACAAAGCACTTACAAAACATATCCAAGAGGACTACTCTCAGGTCCTTAAACTACAGCATACTCTCGGCTTTAGGGGTGTTGTTCGAGGAAACCTCCTGAACTTCTTTAAGCGATTTCTAAAGATTTGTAAATTATTCTGGCGCATAACTACGGCAGAAATTCACAAATGTAAAGAAGTTCTCATCAGCTGTTGGTACAAGGGTGACAACATCTGACTTGCTGTCCCAAAACAGGCCACTTACACTGGACTTTCCCAAGTTGTATTGACTCGGACAAGCCAGATGTCATACCTAGGTGCGCTGCTCTCAGTGCTCCCCCTCGGCACCCTCGTTTTGAACCTATGGCCTCGCTCCCGTTCCTTTGGTGGGGGGTTGCAGCCAAAGGGTGGCAGGTGGGTGGGTTTCTTCCATCCCCACGTTTGCCACTGATCCTAAAGACTCTGTCTGTGGGGGACAGGTAAACAGGTGCACGGGACAGGACAGCACCAGTGGAACCAGGTGGCCCAGGCCAGGCCCTGCCAGGAGTCAAGTGTAGCCACAGCTGCTCCATTCCGTCAGGTGCGGGAGGAGCCAAAGCGTCAGCGCCTGCGCACTGCCCACATGGACGTCCCCCACCGGATCTTCTACGCATGCTCCAAGCACCAGGCAAGAGCAAGGGTCGGGGTCCACGCGACTTTACCTGGAGGGGGCGGAGCCCCCGGCGGCGCATGCGCAGTCCGCGATAAAGCGGCTGTACAGCGCTTCAGCCTCCTCGAACCGCCGCTCGCGGAAACGCGCATGCGCAGCCCACAGCAACTCGGGGTGCCGGCGGCCGCGCTCCTGCTCCATGTCGGCGGGGGGGGGGGTCACGTTCCCATAACCGTCAGCTGCCGCTCGAACGGGCACCGCTCGTCTTCCGGGTCCCGCGCGGTCCCACTATGCACCGCGCGCCGGAGCGTGTTCACTGCCTGCGTAGAACAGTGACATCAGTAGAGCCTTGAAGGGGCTGCCGTTTATTGGCGCGGCAGCGTGGCGGGGCGGAGTCAGCCGGGCGTGCGGGCGCGGGACCGGCCTTGCGTTTGAAACTTGGTGCGGCTCCCCCGCTGTGCAGCGCGACCAACACAGACCCAGTCCCCTGCAGTGTGCGGGGAGCAGGGGCACGACCTAGCGCCAGCCTGCTGCGCGAAGCTCGGCCTTTTAAGTTTGGTAGTGACTGGAGGACGGCCCGCAAGTGTCCTGATCTGTGGGGGACCCCTAAAGGGCTGGATACTTCTGGCTTCGTGGCCCGAGGAATCCTCGTCGGTAGCCTAATTGCTGGACCATCAAGGCTATACCACTGCATAGAAAAATGTTTTATTTAAGAAGTGTATTACAATACAATATATGTAACAAATTTATATTATGAAGCATTTCCATACAGAAAAAAATAAAAGCAAGAGTTGCCGCCTGGATACCTGAAGTTAAAACAAGATGCCCCATATAATGTTGTTTGGTTTTTTTTAGAGAAAAGTTCATGGTGTGCTTTTGAAAAATACGGGCCTGACAAAACTGAAAACCGATTTGCTCTTTTTCTGTACAGGTCATGTACAACATGAACAACAGCTGCTCAAGCTTCCCCATGCTGTCCTATCACTGTAGCTCAACTAACTACAGAGCAGGACAGATAACCTCCAAGGATGTTGTAATTACCCTGTCTCCATGTCCCTTCTATCTCCATTTATACCAGTACACAAGGAAGACAGTTATGACAGCGTGATACAGACATATCTGCCCCCAAAGAAAAAAGGCAATTAACTTGTAACATATAGTTCACTAATGTATTTTTTCTCTTTTATTACTAACATTAATTGAGTCAACCTCATTGCCTAAGGGTGAAATATCTGAAAGAGACAGGGAGAACTCAAGCTGCAGATTCCAAACTGCAGTTTCTTTGCTGATGAGCTTGTTTGGCTCCTTTGTGCTGCACTTGTAAATATATTCAACAAAAGAATACAGCATCAATTATCTGCTTTAAGTACATCTATTAGTATGTTCATTATAGTAGAAAAATACCACAAACAATGATGAGGGTTGCAGCGGGTGCTGTTTAACACTGGACTTTGTTGGACAAAGAGTTGCAGAACTCTTGCATTGAGTGTTGAACTTATGACCCCGAAGGCTCAGCGACCAGCTTGTGACTATATGGGCATGCACAGTCAGCCCTACGCAACTTGTGGCGGGAAAATGGTACCAAGTACCTACCTGAGATAACTGACCCCCAGATTGGTCAGTGGAGCGACTGGCATGTGACTGACACCCTTCCTGTCTGAGTGACTGGGTGAATGGAAGATTGACAGAAGTGGAGTGATCAAAAGGATGAAATAGGGCTGACTGTGAGAGAGTGAGAGGCGGGTGTGATGAGAGTGGGTGAGAGCTGCAGCAGCTGGTGAGGGCCAATATCCCCTCTTTCCTCCAGTCCTCTCTGGGTATATTGTGATCACTTGGAACTGCTGCTGTATTGTGTATGTAAGCTGCTAAGGGCTGTGCATGTGTTTTGTGTTGTGGCCTAGATGAGAATATTAAGCTGTTCCATGCTTGTGACCACTAGCAAGGCTGTTGCAAGTCTGAGAAGAGCTTTACTTTGATCTCTAGTTTGTGTATGTAGTGCTGTATAATCTTGTAACTGTTCTTTATGCTACTTACCTCTTGTTTTGTATTTCCTCTCTTGGATTATAAAATAGTCTAGTTGTTGAATTGTTCACCTGAGTCTGTGGTTTCTTGGTTACTAACTAATATTCGGTCAGCTAGAGCTGGGCTGTAAGCTTACGGCTGATATTTGAATAGGCCCCACCATTCAATTAGAGGAACAAAATCTGCATAATTAGTGTGTCTCCCTCAACGGACTCATTTCAATTTTTTTTCTTCAAGGGTTCACCTATATTAATTTTTCCCAAATATAACTACTGCTGCTTAGTACTACATTGATGACTCTGTAAACAGCCTGAGAATAGTGGATGTTGAATATCTGTAAATTTAGGTCCAGTTTACAATAAAAAAAAAGGCTCTTAGCCTCAACCACTTCATACAAATGTCACTTAACAAATCTTTTTCTTATGACAGATTGCACCTGATTTGTTCTCTTGCACTTTTTTCGAGATTTTTCTCTGCTAATAACAGTAGTATCCTGTAACAGTACATTAAACAAGCAACAACAGAATCATTACATTTCAAAGTATGCTCTTATGTTTATCAGAGTCTGAGACATAACAAACATACATATACCTTTGTTTTTCTTACTAAGCTACTGAGCTATGGCACAGAGGACAAAAGTTATAATTGCTTATTTCTTGGGCCTGTACATAATGCTTGCACATGTTGCACATCCAGAACTGATACTCTGTGATAGGTCTTCCTGTTGCAACACATGTTGGAAGTTTTCCTTCTCCACTACTGAAACAGAAAGGAAAAAAACTAACTGTAACTTTAAAACATTCTAAAATAACAACAAATATTTGTTTCAGGAGTCATCTGGATAAGGGAAGTGCATACATAGCTTTACATTAAACCTATATATTTGGGGCACATTTACACGAGACATTTACTGCACAGTTGACTAATTAGCTGTTCAGTAAATGTCTTGGCATCTACATCTGCACCCCTCTTACACTGGAATAAACTAATTTACTCTGTAGCAGGATAGTACTTATAAATACAAGTGCTATCCTGCTTTGGGTAAAAAACTCTGTAGCAGAGCACATGTAGACACTACCCAGCGGGCTGGGACATAAGGGTGCATCAGTGCAGGGAGTGCCTACTAGCTAGACCCATACTGATGCACCCTTATGCCCCGACCAGCCCCTCTTCAGCACGTTGGGCCAGGGGGAGCAGTCCTTATCCTCCCCACCCCACCGCCAGGTTCCCTGCCAGCCAGGGCTGCTCCAACCCAGCTCAATGTGCCGCACATGAATAAACTGTGGAGCTTATTGCTTTGGAGATTATTGTTCCCAGATGCACGTTCAAAGAGCCCACTCAGGAGCAATAAACTCCAGAGCAGTAAGTTCCACAGTTTAGTCATGCACCATAACTGCATGTGTATATGTGCCCATGCAAAATTTTTATTGGCCATCTATCACAAATTTAGCCTTTTCATTTGGGGCTGCATTATTTTATTATGATGGAACTTATATTAAGTAAAATTAACATATGCTACCCTATGGTTGGGTACATTCATCCTCCTGATATGATAAAATACCCAAGCGTCTTATCATCAGCACTTCAGAACCAGCAAATCCAAACAGTATATTTTGTTAGCAGTGAGTCCTGTCCTGGTTACACATGCCTAGGATGGCTAGAGATTAGAAGGGAAGAGGTGGGAGGCGGGATAGATCAAGGCCCCTGCAGTGAGGAAGGGAGTGGGGTAGAGGCAGGTGCTGCTCAGCCAGGGCAGGATTGGGTGCAGGATGGAGCCACAAGCAGCTCATCTGGGGGGTGGGGGGGCAGGTCCCGCCGCTGTGCGCACCCCAGGACGGCATGTGGGAGGAGCGGGGGGGGGACGTGTGCCCCCAGATCTGCACATGGGCTGAAGCAGGCTGCTGCTGTGGGCTGAGGCTGGGCCTGGGGCGGTGCCGAGCTCTTCCTGGCAGGGGGGAGGAGGGGTGGGGCTGGCTAGGGCTGTGTTCAGGGCAGGCAAAGGCGTTGGGGAGGCCACAGGGAATTCTGGGGTGGCTGCATTCCCTTCCCTCCTCCCCCCGTAGCCCACTTCCAGAGCCACCACCACCCACACTGAGGGCAGCCCAGCCCAGCCGCTACCTGCATATGTGGGTTCATGTGTGACTGGGGACAGAGTGGTCTTGTGAGCCCTTGACTGAGACTGATTGTAAGGGCTTGTGTGAAGATCAGTGATGCATGCATCTGTGAGAGTTGGCACTGTGGGAAGGGTCAAACTCCCAGGAAATCACTAAGCTGTGGAGTGACTCCCGCCATACATGAACGCATCTGCCTGATTTACCTGCCATTCGTTGTGAGGGTAAAGTATCACCTACTCTTGAGTCTGAGGTGCTTAGTACCCATCTGGGGAAAGGCAGAGAAATCCTCAGTGAGTGACTAGAGGCTGAAGTAGCAATCTTAGCCTCCACACTAGGCCTTCAGTGCTGTGGATTGCCCTCTAGCAGTAATTTAATGGTGGTGTTTGGCTGTTACTTGTAAATACTGTACAGACTGTTTTACCTTATGATTTGTATTTGTTGTTATTGTTAGTACTGTTAGTGACTGGGCTTGTTATATTTCTATTGAACTTATATCCAACTGTCTTGTAATCATTGGTTTATTGCCCTCTGAGTGGGACCAGGACATAGACCTATACCCAGGGAAAAGTCCCTTTTAGGCCCACCAAAATTTAATTGACAGGGTAAAAGGCATAGCAACCCTATGGGCTTATTCAGTGAGAGACCCTGCTGGTTTCCTGTCAACAATTTCAGCAAAAAATTTTAACATTAACCAAAAAGCTAAGTAATAGCCTACCTCTCCAGAAGGCCATCCAGATCCAATTTTTTGCTATACTTAGGACAGTGCTTAGTGAATATTTCCAGGGCAAGATCTTCATATTGCTGCTTCTGTTCAGGGCTAAGGGTTTCTAAGGACTCGAGTTTAACAAAGGCTTTTGAACAAATACCAAATGCTCTATTGCCACATGCACACAGAGCCAGAAGGGAATAGATTTCAACTGCAGGAATAATGTCTTCATAATCTCGCAGGTGAAGAGCTACAAAAAGAAAAGAACAAGACAGCTATAATATATTGCTTTGAAAAGGCACACACATAAAGGTAGACTTTGCTTAAAAATTATATTCTTCCCATCACATCACTGCTATGAAAATGCTAGAGCATGTCTAGTTCAACTTGTTTTAAAGAAACAACTTGTGCTTGTTTAAGAGCTGAAAAAGAGTCCCTGGTACCCTACCTTTTAATTCTTAGCCTTTCAGAAAAAGAAGTGGAGAGCACCATCTGCCCAGCTGACTCCTACTGATTCTAGTACAGTACTGATCTAGGAGCAGCACAGCTGTGATCTTCTGGCACACCATATTCAATCAACAGAGGTGCATGGTCATTACAAATACCTAGGTATGGATGAACCTATATCTGGAATGGTTTCAGAAGGAGACGGGGAGTTGCTGCTGCTCTGAAACACATATCAGCTGTTATACTATAACTGTTAGATGTGCACAAACCCTGATCCAAGCAACTGTAGCTGAACAGCTCTAACTTTAATCCTGTTTCATCCAGAGTTAAGGTTAGAGCCAGTTTGCTATATATGCATGGCTCCCAGATAACTGTTGCAGCATAATAGCTGCTGCAAGGTCTGGAGCAACAGCTCCCCCTCTGCTTTTTGAAACTGCTCCAGATACAGGCTTGTCCACGCTTTAGGGGAATTATTTAACCTGATAAAATAGCTAGTTACAAGTTCTATTTCAGACCTCTATATTTGGTAATACTGGCAATTCCCCTGTAAAACTACTGTATTTTCCTGACATATAACCTTCATCTTTCCCCCCAAAACCACCTGTGGAAAATCAGGGTGCACATTATATACGTGAGAAGAAGGATCCCACAGGTCCAGAAACTGGGTGGGGGCAGCAGCATGAGTAAGCAGTGGTAGTGTTTAATTGCAATGTCTCAGAGCTGTGGCAGTTACCACTAAGAGTAACACGTACCATATATTCTGACATATAGCACACCCATGTATATTGTATGCACTTTGATTATGAATGGGAGCCTAAAGAAAAAAAAAGATCTTTCATTGACGTAACTGGTAGCAGCGGCAATTACCACTGTGGCAGTTTCTCCTTCTTCCCCCCAACCAAATTTCCACCAGGGGAAAGGGGGAGAGAAGCCTCCCTCTACATCTGCATACTAGATCACGCCAGGACATGGAGCTGGCCTGTGGCCAGATCCAGCACACCAAGTCTGACCTTGTACACTGACTCCAGAACCACATGCCAGGTTGGACTGGTGTGCTGAGTCCAGGATCATGCTACCTCCAGATCCACTACATAAAGGCAGACATTATCCCTGCTCCAAACCCAGCATGCTGCCCTAGACCCAGCGTGCAGGCTCAGGCCCAGCATGTGGCTCCATGGGCCCCATCCAGCACATGGGCTGGCAGCAGGCTTGGAAACAGGCCTGGCTCCCTAGCTGCTGCCAGTTACCTCAATCAAAGATCTGGTTTTTTCCCTTTAGCCTCCCATTCATAATCAAGGTGCATACAATACACAGGGATAAGCTATATGTGAGAATATATGGTACTTGTTGCTCAAACTGACATCTTTTCCCTTCATTTTGGTGATTGTTACAATACTCTGTTAATTACATTATTCAAGGTCCAAATCAGCAGCAACAGCAGCAGGCCAGATGTACCTTGCTTGGGTCGATGGGTGGGGAGGGGAGGCAGTACTTCTGGCTGCCATAGCTAGATGCTTCTCCCTGATGCCAAACCACAACACAGGCAAAACACCCTGCTCCCTACTCCCCACAGCCCTGGGCTCTGTGGACCAGATCCAGACCAAGCACTGTAAGTTACCAACTCCTCTTCTAAATCACAGGAATCAGGCACAACCAAAAGAAAACAAGGCAAGTATAAGGAGTAATTTGTGGGGCTTACAGAATAATTTAAATTTTCTAACCATCCATATAGCAGAGAAACCTTACCTGTTTTCATTGCTGTATCTACATAACCTTCATAAAGCTGTCTTTGTGCAAGTAGGAAAAAATGATAAGCCTCAGCTCCCCTCCAGGCATTATCTGTGAAGCGATTAGCTGAAGAGAGAACATCTTCCTCCAGCAATCCAGCTAAAGCTGATGTAGCCTTAAAAAAATCATCACATGTAAGACTTTGCTGAGTAGAAAGACACTACCACCTCCCATTTCTTGCACCTAATGCTTCTATTGATGCATCTCAAAACAGCATTCATCTTTTGTGCAGCTGCACCGCATTACAGACTCATATTGAGTTTGGTCTACCAAGATTCCCAAATCCTTTTCCACAATGCAGCTATCCTTCCAGGTGTCACCCATTTTATATTTGTGTTTTTTATTCTTCTTCCCAAGGTATAGCACCTTACATTTGTTCTTACTGAAACTTCATCCTGTTAGCTGTAGCCCAACTTTCCAATCTGTCAGGAACCTTCTGAACTGTGCTCACATCCTCCAACATGTTTGCAATGCTTTCTAGTTTCGTTGTCTGCAAACTTGCACAAGAAGCTTTCTATGCCAACATCCAAATCATTAAACACGTTGAACAGCACCAGACCTAGGCCAGATCACTGCAGGACTCCACTTGAAACCTCCTGCCCTTCTAACATTTAAACCCTTTAATAATTATCCTTTGCCTGCGGCTACTGAGCCAGTTATCTATCCACCTTATAGTAGTTTTATCTAGCCCACATTTCTCCAATTTGTTTATGAGAAGGTCATGCAGGACCCTGTCAAAAGCCTTTCTGAAATCTAGATACACTATATATCCACAGCATTTCCTTCATCCACCTAAGTAGTTAATCTGTCAAAGAAGAATGTTTGTTTGACACAATTTGTTTTTCATAAATCCATGCTGCTTGCAATGAGCCATTCCTCCTCCAGTTGCTTGCAAATGGCTTTCTTCAGGATATGCTCCAGTAATTTTCCAGATACTGTGCTGAGGCTAACCACTCTTTAGTTCCCCAGGTCCTCCTTTTTGCCTTTTTTAAAGACAGACATAACACTGAACTTCTTCCAGTCCTCTGGTATCTGGTCCATCTCCCACTACTTCATGAAGATCATTGCCAAGGGCTCCAAGATCTCCTCTGCCAGTTTTTTTCAGGACCCTGGGAAGTTCATCCAGCCTTGCTGACCTGAATTCATTCAGACCCAACAAAAGGTCTATGACCACCTGTTTTGTTATCTCCTCATCTTGCCCCCTTTCTTCTCCAAATAATCTTTGGTAGGAGTATGACTATGTATATAAATAGTATTTCTATTAAAAATAGTATTTCTATTTTTTCAACTTAATTGTTTTGTGAAGACTGAAGCAAAGTAGCTGTTGAGTAGCTCTGCCTTCCTTGTATCTTGTTCCCCTGGCTTGCTAAGGTCTTTCTTTTCTGGCTAATATACTTATAGAACTCCTTGTTGTTCTTAACCTCCTTTGTCAGTTGCAGCTTGTTCTTTGTCGTTGCCTTCCCAGTTTTGTCCCTGCAGGTTCTTGCTATTTCCTGGTATGCTTCCTTGCTGACCTTCCCATTTTTCCATCGCCCATATGCTTTACTTTTGCATTTGAGGCATTTTAGCAGTGTCTTGTTCAGTTACATTGGTCTCTTGCCATGTTTGTGCTTCCATTGTGTCAGGAAAGTTTCTTATTGGGGTTCCAATACTGTGCCCCTTAGAAGCTCCCAGCCCTCCTAGGCACTTTTAATCTTCAATCCCATGCCTATTAGCTCCTTAAAGCTCATTAAGTCAGATGAAATCCACCTTTTTTAAATTTAGCATCCTAATTTTGCTGACCTCATGCTTTCCCCATCTCAGGAGCTGGAAGTCTGTTGTATTGTGATAGTTTTCTCCTGTTACCCATCACCTTCACATCCTCCACCAATTCTTCCCTGTTGGTCGGGACATGATCCAAAATAGGTGATCTCCCCTGGTTGTATTCTCCACTTTCTGGAACAGAAAGTTGTCCTTAACACAAGTTAGGAACCAGCTTGACATTTTATGTTTGGCTACATTGTTTTTCCAGCAGATGTCTGGAAAATTGAAGTCTCCCACCACTAACATATCACAGCTCTTGGATAGATTTGTCACCTGCTTAAAGAGTGCCTCATCCAACTCTTCTTCCTCATTTGGTGGCCTATAATAAATCCCCACCATTATATATCTTTCACCTTTTATCTTCACCCAGACGCATTCTGCTTTGCTGTCTTTTTCCTCCTGAACCAGGGAACAAGTATGTGCTTTTTGATATACAAGGCCACATCACCACCTTTTCTGCCATCTGTCCTTCTAAAACATTGTACCCTCAACGTTGACACTCCAGTCATAAGAGCTGTCCAGCAAGCTCTCAGTGATGCCAATGAGCTCATAGTTCTTTTCACAGGCTGCAACTTCCAGCTCTTCTTTATTGTATACATGTATTGGATGCATTTTGCATTTTGACCCCCTCGCTTCCCTGTTGCATCACTTGTTGCAGTCCTGTAGCTCTGTGAACCTTTCCCAGAGCTGAGTTGCTTCTTCAAGTCCGTTCCCCTCTGGACTATGTGCTCTGCTGCTAAAGAGTTTTGATCATCATCCCCCATGAAACCTAGTTTAAATCCAGTGTCAAAAACATTCTGAACTGTTGTGGTCTTTCTGAGTTCTTTGCAACACAAGAATTCCACTATCTTTCTTTAAAAGGTGAAGAAAAGCTAAGAGCTATTATTTTCTAAGAGGTGCCTTGAGTCTAATAATGCTGAGAACCACTGGTGTACATGAAGATGGGAATTTAATGAATGTGAGAACTATTTTTTCTTGTTGCATTCCCATACTGCACACACTAACTTACCTGACCCAGCTGAGTTATAGGCAGTATTTCTTGATCTATGTACTAAATCTCTTTTGAAACTGGTATATCATTCCTACCAATCACTTCATACCAAGCACAAAAAACCCTGGATTCATCTGTGAGAATCTTGTCATAATATTCAAAGGCTGTTTTAAAAAAATAAATGTTAAAAACACAATTTAGCTATTTCTAAATAATGTTTTTAAGCAGCATGCTCCTTTATAAATCTTAGGAAGAAATAAAAACATGTTAGAAATAAGAGACTATTTTAAAATAATATTATATCCTTTCATTTGTTTACTCTGATGGATGATACATATTAGGCATTTATAAAACTGCTGGGAACTATTTGATATACTTTACCTCTGAACTCTTTCCTTTCACTTTTCCCCTTTGTACATTCTTCACTTGTTCATGGTATTGTTCTACAAGTAAAGCTGCTAATACATAAAGCTTTTTAACTCGCAAAGGTTTAGTCCTTTTCTTTGCTTCTTCATCTGCAATCTTAAAGAAATAAGGGCCATAAAAATATTTCATTTTTTGACAATTACACACTAAATGACATTTGGTGTTTTTACCATGGTAAAAGAATTGCCTCTAGACATACAAATACAATCTAAACATTTGCTGTGGCAATATAAACATTAATGTAGCCTTTGTAATTTCAAAAAAATAAGAACAGGATTTTCTAAACTTAAATATATATAGACTAGCCAACTGCCTATCAAGAATGCCCTGCTGGCCTCACCACCTCCCTCCTTCTTCTGTTCACTCTGTTGCGAATAAAGTGCGACACTCAGACAGGCAGGCTTAAGCTTTTATAATATTAAAATACTCTATAACCACCACTGAACTTACACTACTTTTGAAGTTTAACGGCACAGCATGACTGGAAGTAAAGAATACCTCAAACCTAACTCTGACTTGCACTACACAATGATGTAATGGTTTTATAATTAACATCTCCTATACACCTCAAACACCTATTTGTTCCCTGAAAATAGTTAACACTGGAAAATGCAAAGTGCAGTACATAAAACTAACCGTTGACACCTACACACACTATTGCTAACTATCCTGTATAACTCAGGATTAAAGAGGAGCCTTGAATACCTTGAACATGAGCTTGGCAGCATCGAAAAAATAATTGGCCTTACGATAGAGTTCTATGGCATCAAGGATTTTATTCTTTTCCAGTAAATGAGATGCATATCTAGCGAGAAGTGATCCAATCTCTTTCATATTGTGATTTTTAGCCAGCTCAACAGCTTTATTCCACTGGAAACAAGAGCAATCAGTTATTCGGTTTTACAAGTTTTCAGTTACATCCTCAATAAAGTACAATTATCTTCTTAGTCAAAGCATTCCATCATATTATAAGAAAACAGAAGTTGTGATTTTAATAAGCAAAACCTATAGTAAATTATTTTTTTTGTAACTGCCAGAATTGAATCTTCTGCAGAAAAGCTCTGAAACAGCTCAGAGTGTATCCAACAGAAGCAAAACAATTCAGAACTAAATTGGATCATGGAAAAGCTTTTAAGTCTAAACTAGCAAATTTATTTGCCTTATTTCTACAAGCCAAACACTTTGTACAGATTTTTGATGTATTCTTTTTAATAAGGAAAATACACTTAGAGGTATGGCATTACTTGTTTATGTCTGGCTTCACTTCTTTATGGATAAAAATTAACCAAATCCTTATTCAAATTTTACTAAATTGTGATACCCAAATTCTTTGTCAACTATAAACTATAAAACTTTATCAACAATAAAGGAAGTTGTACAAGGACTGAATTCAGGTTGTGATTTGCTCCTACATACGCTCAGTGTTCTAAGAATTTTATTTTCATTTTACTTGCTTTTAACAGCATGTTGTGCGCAAAAAGGATTAAAAGGAAGCATACTGCATCAGAAAAGTAGCTATTAAGTACTGTTCCTCAAGCAGCCACCTAGTACAGTCACATAAGAGATGGTGTAAACCCTCCACTGCAGGCACCCAACCAATTGTGGAGAACAGTACTTAGGAGATAATGCAGTACTTTTTGCAGTGTGTGCAATTGCTTCTTAACCCCAGCAGCTATTACTTTACAACCTAATGGTATTCAGGCCAGGCAAATGTGAATTTGAAGACCTTTATCCACTAAAGAAATAAAAAACAAAGAGTTGAAGAGAAACTTTGTATTGCAGCTATTCTAAATCTACTTTTAGAGTTACCATGCTCAATCCCACATCAGCTTCTCTCCTGAGATTTCAGTAAAGGTTGTCATACCAAAATGCATGGTTGCCTGCTGAGTCACATAAGCTGATATCATTGAGAACCAATGGAACTGTCAACTAAAGCAGTTCTGTGGTCTAACTACTCTAGTATTTTGTCTCAGTGACTTCAGAGAAGGGGCAAAACACCCAGTAAGAGCCAAGAACCTTGCCTGCCAGATGTAAAACAATACACCCTCTAGGATGGCTTCCTCCTAGTCTCCAATAATTAGTGATAGGTTTAAAAACTGGAGTGTGAGTTTTAGAAGGATTCTGAATACACATTATATGATTAAAATGGACTGAAATCTAACTGTGGACCAACATGAAAAATCTCATTATTAATCCTCCAACGCAATACAATACCACCTTCTATCATCATTGTCTTACCTGATTGAGATGGACACAGGTATCTACTGCATCTTTTGGGCGATTACATTTCAGAAAGGCGCACACAGCTTGGTCACACATCCCCACTCTCACAAACATATGAGCTATATCCTGCAAAAGATATTAGAAACCTGCTACCATTTCTTTCAAGATTTGCAGGACACCATTTTAGTAACGAATGCTACTACAATCTCTGTAATTGTATTAATCTTTTTACAGATTCTATAATGCTGCAGCATGGGCGACCGGTGCCTCCTGGCTCTGCAGGGGGCACCAGCTGCCAATTGTTGACTGGGGGGGGTGTCCCAGCAGTTGATCACTTACCCCGGAAGTGCTGGTGGCAAACTGGAAGTGCCACCGGCGCTTCTCAGGGGGAGCACCGGCCAGCACTCCCCGTGACCCCCCCCCACCACTCATGTCCCCCATATGCATCACCTATGTGTTACAGTAATCTTAAGGCAGGCAAGTTTGGAAGACAATGGGTAGCGGGGGAAGGGCAGCGGGGGAAGGGAGGGAAATGTGTGAAGGAATGCAAACAGCTGGAAGCAGGTCATCTGGGGTATCATATCGCAGGCAGGTTCTAATGCATCATAAATTCAATGTCTATATTAAGTCCATGATTTTTTGTATCCAGTAGATTTATGAAGTGAAGTTCATAGGCTGTCTACAAAAGGTGTTTTTTTAAGTTCCCTTTGAGGATTAGAACTGAGAGATTGGAGAGTGACTGTCTTGTGAGAAGTGGGCACTCACAGGTAATTGGGTATTTTTGTCTTTGATGGATTTTCGGTGTGCATTTATTCTGGTGCAGTTTTTGTTTGATTTCTCCTACATATTTTCCATCAGACCATTTGGTGCACTGGATGAGATGCATTGTGTTTCTGGAGGCATAGGTGTAAGATCCAGGAATAGTGATTGTCCTGTTGTAGGGTGTAGTTATTGCGAGACTGGTGGAGATGCATTGGCAGGTTTTACGTTTCTTGTCCTAGCATGGTCTGGATCCATTTGATGTGGTTTGGGTCAAAGGAAGTTTGCTTCTGCTGATGAGGTTAGCGAGGTTCAGGGTATCTCTACCTATTGTCTTCCAAACTTCTACTAACTTACAGTTTCACAAACCTGCTTGTTGTAAATTAGCTTCTTTTCTACCTTGGAGAACATGTAACACCACTAGAGTCTCCCCTGTGCCTGAAAGCTTGCTAAGAACTTCTTTCCAACTATTTAGTTGGTCTAATAAAAGATATCACATCTTCCCAAAGAACTTTGCCTGCCTATGTCCTTAGACCAACACAGCTACAACCAACAACCCTACAGTAACCTTAAGGAATATATTTTACTTTTACAACTTGTTTCTTGGATCTACATTGGCTCAGAATTATTAGTGGTACAGGGTAAAAATCTTAGAATTACAGACACTGGGATGCTTCTTCCTAGGATTTAGTGCATATGTTGGAGAACTTAGCAGACCAGGACACGGTTGGAAGACAGCGTTGATCTGAAATAGCATGCTATATTAAAATGCCATTCACTGTAACATGATTTGTCTTTTCCACATACTTTGGAAAACATGCAAACTACCAATTTTTCTTAATTCTTACTTAAGACATCACATTAGATCATGCTGACAGGCTCTCTCCCTCTTTCAAGCCTCTGGAATGATTCTGACATTCATTTCCATTAACATTACCATTCTTGCTATGGTATAGAGACACGAGAAGACAACAATGACCATTGTTACTACCAGTGAAAGCAGCCCTGAAAAATTTTAGGGCAAAAAAACCAAACAAACCAAAACCAAAAAGCTAATGTAAACGAGGCCATGACCAGAGAGTCTTAAAGATACAGCCAGTTCTTATACATACAGGAAGTAACTTGTTATTTTCTGGAAGTGAGTTAGCCAGATTTTCTAGTCCTTGGTAATCTTCTAACATGTAGTAACATTCAGCTAAACGTTCCTGGTTTCTTCCTTGTACATAATACTGAACAGCATTTATCCTAAGAAGAAAAAAAAGGTTACTAATATAAAAACTGTAAATGTTAATAAAGTGCTAACTAAACATAACTGAAGTAACTTTGTCATTAAACAAATTAAAATATATATTTTTTCAGATTCATATAAGTTCACTTTCTTGTGGAAAATATGCTACCCTAGAGCACACTAAAATTTTAGTTTCAATATTTCCTTAAATTGCAGGATTAATAAGATTTGTTGGTTAGTGTAGGGGTAAGCGTCAAGAACCCTATTATTATTGTTTTGCTCAATCTGTCATGGACCATAAGCAACCACAGATATATTTATAACAATTTCCAGAAATGTGCTCTATTTGAGCGTCACCAATTTTGACTACTCGGCTTTTAACAATTACGGTCTGATCGTCACTGTAGTTGAAGTCAATTGAAAATGCAACAGCTCAACATTTCTGAAAAATTAGGCACTGCATTTTTTCAAAATGTTTAAAGTTACACACCCAAAAATATGGCCTTCAGTCTCTTTGGGGGCCAAGTTCCTTATACAGGTAAAATTAACGTAGTTTGGGTGGCCTTAAATCTGCATTTACCTAATTTGAAGAGTTTGGGTTTAAGATAACTAACAATGTCAAAATTAAGGCAATCTTACTTCTTTCTCTCTTTTTGCTAAGAGCTTCATCATCCTCTTACTAACAACATTCACTATGCTTAACTCCATCTTAACAAAACTATCTGCCTTGATATTTCCTTAATTTTTTTTAAGAAGTTTCAGAATTTGTTCAGTGACCCAACTCCTGGCCCAGCTGGGATTATTGCTTCCTTCCCTCTTGCAACAGAACTGTAGGCAATGGTAGGATACATGCCTTAATGAAATCAACTCACTCTGCAAGTATAAAATGTACTCACTCTGGGTCATGCTGTTATTCCTCACTCTGGCTGACTAGCTTCTTGACTTTTCCCCCACACTGTACTAATCTTAACTCGGGGTAGGAGGGAATCTAGCCAATCTCAATTATGAAACAGCCATTCTATTTTCTTCTTCAGAGAACCATACCATTTTTGCCTATCTGCAAAATAGTCTCCGATAGCATTGTGTGCTTGTTCCAGAAGGGCATCATCTGCATCACCTGAACCTGTTTTCAAAAGCTGCAGTACTCGAAACCAATCTCCCAGTTTGATCCGTAATCCAATAGCAAGGTCTCTATATATAGGATCAGAAAATACTAGGTAACAGTAAAAAAAAACATAAAATAGCCACCAATATTTTGAGAAACGTCTTCAGAACTACAATCGTGGCAGATGAACAGCATGGAGAAATGAAACACTTAAGAGACACTGACAGATGTTAAAAAGAAGGTTTGCTCCTGTGGCTAGGAGCCTGGCAGCTGGGATCTGCAAGGCTGAGAGTTTAATCAGCTGATCAGGGCTCCCAGCTGCAGGAGCTCCCTGTGCTGCCCTAGCTGGGAAACTATCAGCTGATGAGTGGTCCCAGCCTCCAGAGCAGCATATTTTAATTAGGGCTGTCAAATGGTTAAAAAATGCGATCACAATTTGTTACGCAATTAAAAATTAGTCACAATTAATTGCGATTTTAATCACACAGATAAAAAGTCAAAATTATGCGCAGAAAAACTTAAAATGATGCAAAACTAGGCAGGTACTTTGTATGGTTCAGGGGTGGGTATAGGGAAGGGACGGGGGGAGGAATTTGTGAAGGTGTGGGGGGTTTGGAGCCTGGGGAGGAGGGCTGCCTGTAGTGGTGGGAGGGGAGACCCCCCACACACCCCAGCAGGATGCCCAAGCTGAGCAAGTGCCTGCAGAGCTGCTCCAGGCCTGGGGCACACCCTCCACCCGAGCACAGCCCCAGCAGCAGTGGGCTCACCCTGCCCTCAGTCAAGCAGTGGTGGCCACAGACAGCCTGGGCTGGAGACAGCTGCTCCAGCCTCAGCTCTGGCCCGGGCCCAAACTTCCCGGCTTACTTGCTTAGCGGACCCCAAGTGGTCCCGACCTGCTCCAAGCCCCAGGATACCAGACAGCCCCACCATGGCCCAGCAACACCTTCCCCAAACCCCAGCACTGCCAGCCCAGCTACTTGGGGCCCTGGATGTGGGCTGGCTGTGGGTGGATGTGCCCCCCCACCTGCCTTCCTCCTGCAGCCACCCAGAGCCCGCTTCCCACCAGCACCCGCAAAGATCTGCCGTGGCAGGACTGCCTGGCAGCCTTGGGCCCCACAGCTCAAGCTTGGGGTGGGTTGGGACCGCCTGGGAGTTCCAGCAGGAGCCGCCTCTGGGCCTGAGGGTCCCCGCATGTCCCCAGTCTGGGCCCCTGGAGAACGACAGCGACGGCAGCCTTGCATCCCCATGGAGGCAACTGATGCTCCTCACTCCCAACCCACAGCCTCCTTCCCCCTACGTGCCACTGACCTGGTGCCTCCCCCAGCAGGCAGCGTGCCCAACCACAGATGACACCATCATTGAGAGACATGGGGAGATACATGCCCCACCAGATTTCTATGCCCAGGGGCATAGGGCTGCAGCCTGGTTGGACCAGCAGCAGGCAGGAGCCACCTCCGCGGGCCACTGGGCAGGACCCAGCATGGGAAAATGGAGCAGGGCAGCAAGATTCATTGCTGCCACCACCACCATGAGCCCAGTACCAGCTGCGCTGCCATGGCCACGAAGGTGAGGCACCTCCTGCCCGCCACCGCAATGGGGGGCAGCTTGTACCCCTTCCCTACTGCAGCGGTGAGCAGGGGCACCTCACGAAGGCAGTGGTGCCAGCATGGGGCTCATGCCACCCTGCTTTGCCCTCCTGCACTGGGTCCCACCCACTGGAATGAGGAGGCAGCTCCTACCCGGTGGTGGTCCACCCAGGCTGCAGCCCTGTGCCCTTCTGTAGGCATAGAAATCTGGGGGGCATGTACCTCCCCATGCCCTCCAACATGTCACCTCTGGTGCCCGACCCCTCCCCAGGAGTGTGCACAGTAGCAGGGAACTGCACTACACATGGTACCCCCTTGCCAGCCTGTGTTTTTCTCCTTTAAAGGAGAAAATCCATGTTTTTCCTTGGCAAATGGAAAACCTGGAACCCCGGTAATAACTTTGTCACTTATTCCTGGTTTTATCATGGCATTAACTAAATGAGCACGTAGCCAAGTCACTACTTAAGATGTGATTTTGTTAATCACATCGTAAGTGTAACATGTCAAGGGCCTTAGAGGCTCAAAGTTTTAGTGATAATAATTATTGATTATCTCTGGGATAGATAAATAGGAACATACTGAAAAGGAATTTTCAAACTATATTTGAAAAGGAAACATACTTGATGAAGCCTTATTTTGTTAAGTGCTTTGCAGCCTTCACAGTAGTAAGGCAAGGAAGAAAGGGCTGCCTAGAATTCCAGCCCCTCAGAGTGCACCAATTGTTACCAAAACACTTTCTAGGTAGGTAACCCTATCTGGAAGAAGCCAGGAAATAAATAGACCCGCTGCTCTCTGCTACTTCCTACCATCTATCTCTGTTGCTTGAAACAGAGCGTGCTTCACTGCTTTATGCCTTAAAGGGTGTCAACAACTGCATTCTGCTTCTAGAAGACACAGCACTTTCACTGCCTAATTGCTAAGTAAAAATCAATCTCTTTTTCAGTTATAAATAATTTCCCTTTCAGTTTTACTGTTTTTATAGCATAGTGGTAACTAATGGAAGTCTGTCGAGTATTCTTTTACCTTTCGATAGGGAAAGTTCTCTTTCTCTAACCTTGCTCTCGCATTCCATAAATTGTAAATTGTGAAAGGAATAAATACCTGCTCACTGTTTAAATGTCCCCACTTTTTTTTTAGTGCCTCTACTTAACAGGTATTTTCCTTGACCTATTGTTGGGATTACTGCTTCTAGTAATTACCTTCTGTCCATATCCAAATACATTCTTTCAGCCTCTTCAAATCTGCCAAAGTAGGCTGCCACTTCAGCTTGCTTCATTGATTCACTCTGCAGATTGCCTAAGCACTTAACAAATTTAATTCCTTGGTAGTCTTTGCAGCGCACAAATGCTTGTTCAGCAGTTGGTAGATCTAGCTTTTGAAGAGCAGCTTCAGCCAGGAGACGCCTGTATGGAAAAAAAAATATTTGATAGCTATTAGAAATGCATCTATATTAGCACATGGTACTGGGAACCACTTAATGAGTCAGAAAAAGCCAGACAAATTAGGGGCAACTCTATCCGCATCTACAGTTCACACTTAATCTCAAATCTGAGAGCCCATGTACCACAATTACATTTTGTATGCTGTCTAACCTAAGTTTTTGGCAAGTGATTAGGAATAGCCTCTAGCTCACCTGTTCAAGACTGACCTAGGTTGTCAGTGACTGAAAGTATGAGGCTTTATGGCTCTAAAGGAGCTCCCTCACTCCAATTTCAGTTAGATTCATCTCCTCACCTGCAGATTACAACTAGAAGCCTGGATGGCAATCTGGGTTTGAAGACCCACACTTAAATGGGCTATGGAGAATAAATTATCCTTTCCATCCCACTCTCTCCAGATTAGCACTGAGGTATGCCACCTGGGCAGTACAGAGAAGCTTGCACTGCCACTGCGCAGGCTGCTCTGTTCCATCCTGTAGATAAACAGAAGATCCCTACCTTGAGAGCAACCTATGTTAATCTGTCATTTGGATGAACCTAAAATTTACTTCAAAAATAAAGCTAAGATCTAGACACTTAGCATACCGAATAAAAGACAATGCAACTAAAGCATTCTCACCATATAGTGTTTCAAAACTTCTTGACAAAATTCCAGTGACTACATTAGTCAACTCAAAACATGCATCAAAGATGATTTCTATCAATCTAATGTTTGCTATGTCAGATTTTTAAAAGTATCAACTCATAATCTGCTTTAGGCTTTGCAGCAAATAACCAGAAGGGTTACTTATAAAATTAAATGAATCTACCATCTACAGTATTCTCATTTACTAAGGCTGTAGCAGTGCATGCATTACCTTAATCTTAACTGCAACAAATCTGTTGCATAAACACAACTGATCATTTCAAATTTTAAATTTGTTCTGTATAAATCGTGGTTGAACAGTGCATTTATTTAGACATCAAAATTCTCAGTAACTAGCAGTTTTTAACAGAGTAAGATCAACAGGATTTGGTCTGCACTTTGTGATCCCACTACATAAAACTTTTACAGGAACATGACAAAACACACAGTCAGATTTATACTGAAATAAACAGGGCCAAAACTAGCTCACCTAGTTCAGTAACATGGATACCTTCATGAAAAAAGAGATTCCTCAAACTTTCAACATTCAGTTATCCTACTTACAGGTACGTATAATACCAATACGTGTAGTACGTGTAGATACGTGTAGTACCAATCTTTGGACTATTAAAAATGACTGGCAACATGCCACAGTTTCTTGTCAATGACATTTTTCATTAAGTTATTTACTATGGCACTCATGCAGTCAGCCTTGGGACATGGGCCACTAAAAAGCTTTCTGTAAGTCCTGTGTTCACAGATGTGTTTCTTTCTTCACTTCTTTTACAGTACACTGGGCCGGATCTTAGAATTCTATTTTAAGAACTGGGTCTGCGTTTCATTAAAGAGTATCTAAGTCTCTATTTCCTCATGTTGTCACCCCATCTCCTCCGCAAAAGCACGGTTAGTATCAGGATCATTTCAAAACATGAAAAAATAGTCCATCCTTCTCACCTGCCCTCCATTCAGTCAAATCAAAACACTGCTAAATTAATAATTTTTCCAAACTTTTTCCATGTCACACTTTCTTAAATTCCTTGAATGTATTCCCCTTTTCCTTATTCCATATCAGGTTCAAGCATCTTGTCCTAAAGGCTCAACACAACTGGGCCCTGCCTCTCCCTTGTCAAGCCTTTGCTTACTGAAGCTTTACCTCTACTCAGTCTCAGTAGTATCTTCTTTCTTGCTACCCATACAACTGACTACCCATACCCTAGAATCAGCTTGTTTCTTCTTCAAATCCCACTGTTTCTTATTTTGAGCTCTCCATGTATGCTCTTCCTCAGCTTTTTTGGCTTTGAATTCTTCTCCCGTGTGTTATACTTAAGTTATACTGAACATCAAGGCAAAGACTTGGACTTTCTTTTTTATATTTTTCTACAGGACGCAGCAAAACGGGGGCCCATTGCAGAATATTCTGGTTACTACTGTAATACAGATATTTGATAAAGAACAATACATTAAATGGATACAGCGATCAGTGCTTGACTGAGACCTTGCAGGAACACTCAGATGCTGCAGGAAGTGCAGGTGGTGATTCAGTAGCAGGCATTCTGCTCTCCACCAGAAACAGAGAAATGCCTTGGACCACTTTGCTGTAAGCAGTACAATTTTTTTAGAAAAGGGGGGGGGTTGTGATATTAGTTCTATAAATAGCCTATGTTTCTTACTTCAAGGGTACAAGTGTGAATTTTGCCAAATTTCAACTCATTCAAATTATTTTGTTTCACTAACTCAGTGGTGCCCAACCCTTCCACCCAATGGGCTGAATGGGTGGTGTCAGGTCGGTCCACAGGCCACAAAGCAATTGCCCGGGGGACTGGATTTGATCCAGGACATGGAAATATGGCAGTGGCGGGGGGGGCGCGGATGGTAGTGTTAATTATCATTGCTCCCTGACACCTAAGTTATTGACCCATGGCTCCATGGGGCAGGGCTTGAGCACTCCTCATAAATTATTAACATACTATCCTTCTCTGCTAACCTCTAAAATAGCTGTGCAATGTTGCTCACACTGCCATAATGGCTATCAGTGACAATAAAATGATGAGATCCCTATAGGTATGTAAGTTATATTGTACTAATGTAAAGTTCTCAAGACTTGTAATATATAGCAGTGGGTCTACAAACATACCAAAAGTTAGATTTATAAACTCAGGATTTTCAAAAGCACCAGTAACCTTTTTGATGTAGTGTAAAAGAACAGTGCTAGAGCACCTCAAGATTCATTCTGAGGGTTTGCTGTGAGGAAGATGTTGGGAACTCCCTTCATTTAAGCAAAACTCAGATCGTCAAACAATCCCAGTAGCATAACAATTATTTAAACACTTGTCATGCTAAATAACCACACGCAAAGAAGCTTTAGCACTATCACTACGCAGAAGAGACGACAACTAAGGCTCATAACTAGGAAATGCCTAGCAAGCCCTGCAGCTAAGCACCTCAGTGGATCAGCTGCTGAAAAGCTGGGAGCCTGGAAAAATTGCAGCTCCTAAATTCCTTGCCAGGAGGGCTGCTAAGTAGCATGCAAGGCCTGGACAACTCCAGAGAAATCCACTAGGCAAGCCTAAAAAAAATTCTGGAAAGTTGACATGGCAATTCAAGACCTGACTTTGCAGCAGCCATCCAGGTGAGCTGCTGAGAAGCCAGGAAGCCTGATGAACCCTGGTTCTCATGATCCCTGCCAACCAGGTTATCAATGAACTAGGAGCAGGGTAGAGGGAAACTAAGCAGGTTTCCTTCAAACATTTCCCCAAAATTGATATATTCCTTTGGAATGCTTCAATTCAGGCAGACTAGCACCTTCCTGACCAGCTCTCTCACCAGTAAATTATCTTCTTATAGCAGGGAATCCATCAATCAATAGCCTATTTTAAGACTGTACCAAATTAAGGTTAAGAACCATGCCTTTGCCATGATGACAAAAACTAATTTTGCCAGACAAGCAAGCACTAGGTTACTTAACTGGTTTCCAATATCATTTCACAGTAAACACTCCAGAAGCAACTTAATACAAGCCTCCCATTTCAAGAATAAATACTTTATTTACCTAACACATGCCGAGAGCAGCACTCTCAGAAGCAAGAATAACCCACTCAGCCTCCAAACACAAGGCAATTGCACAGCAGTTCTTCATGCTGCTGCTAAATACTGGTAATTCTAAAAAAAAAAAAAAATCAACTTTGTTCTTTGAACTACCTATAGTTCCAAACTCTGAAGGCTATAAATTTACACTGATCTATATCTGCTGAGGACCTGTGTTTCTAACATGACCAGAAAAGTCTAGGAGTCAGTGGGAGCAGAAGGAGAAAGGGTAATGAAAAAGGATTTTACCAAAGTCTGGGATGTGGATTATCTTCTATGAATTGGGAAGACTCCTCTATCCCAACCTCCTCGATCAATGCTCGACTGTCTCGTAAGGATCGAATCTCAAAATTAATTATGTAATCTTTGTTAGGATGTTCAGGATTCTATAACAATGAAGTGAGACAGACTGATATTCAACATTGTTCTTTCCCACCTATTAGAAATATCCATTATGCAAATCATTACGACTCCTGGCAGATATTCACTTAAAGATGCAATGGGGCAATGGAATCTGATCCCTGATCCCAACAATCATGTGTCCTACCATACCACACATGCATGGCAGGATGTGCAACTGTTGGGATCAGACATGAGATCCCAGTCATGTGACTGTCAGTGCATGGAGGTCACACTGAGGACAGGTCTCCGAACCAGCTTTTTGCAGTGTGCATGGAGCCTGGGATCATGATCCACACCTACCAGCAGATTTAAACCTATGCAGGGCAGCCCTGAAGGAGCCCCATGGGTTTCCCCTGCTCCATATACCTTTAAACCCTCACATACGGGTATGTAAAATCCCCAGGCACTGGGAACTGGGATGGAAGAGCATCTCCAGAAGCGCGTTCTCTGATCCCAGTTCCCTGCACCTCAGGCTTTTACATGTCATCTAGCTGGGTTTCAGGCACAGTGATTTAAAAGCCTAGGGGGCAGGGAACTGATATTGGACAGCCTCTTTCCAACCCAGGTTTCCATACCCTGGGTTTTTAAAGACCTGGGACTGCCTTGTGCTGATCCAGATGCTCAGCTGAGAGTTGGAGTCACTTGAGAAAACTCCTGCTCTGACAGGCACATGCCACACATGCCATTTCAACGTGCGATTCAAACCAGCTATAAAAGTGTTCCGCATTATATGAAACACCTTTGTAGCTGGTAGTACATATAGTATTTTAAAATACATGTAGTATTTTACAATTTATGGCACAATTACCATGTTAATCATGTCATAATTGTAACATCTGCCAGGGCCCTAACATGCATACAGTTTACTAAAACAAAAGCTATCCTTACCTTCAGTATTTCATCCAAAAGTACAGATTTAATTTCTAAGTCTTCAAAGTTACAAATATATCCAGATGTTTGAATGGGTTCCTTAAAGTTAATAAGGTTAAAACATAATGAGCAACTCTACATAAATCCAATTATATTTAAATATATTATAAATCAGTTTCCTCTTCCCCAATTTAAATTTTAATGACATGTCTAACACTCAGACCAATAACACTAGGCAATGTCAGCATCTAAGTGCATATTTAAAATCTGTTAAATAGCAAAAACTTGTTTTCAGTATCTTGTTTATCAGAAAAATGTCAATGAATGAGAACAAAGAGGTGGAGCTTACATGTCTTATCATTATTCTTCAATTAAAAAAATAGAAATTCCTCTTAGAAAATATAAATACTATCATCATCATTTTTGGAATCTTATATAAGAAACATAAAAAAGAGTTTCCATGTTTACTTATCTTTCTAGCATATCTGGACGTTTATCATTCATTTGTCTATAAGCAACACTTACAAGCAAGCACATTTTTGGAGTCTTCTAGATACCTACCTGAATCTCAGGTCTGTAAGTAACAGCCTGCCTAACTTCATTTTAACAAACTGAGTAAGCCCTTTGATCAGAATCCCAAAATAATTGAATGAATCACTATGATACATTATGAAGTAACTAATATGTTCTTTTTTTTACCTACCTCAGGATCCAAATTTCTGAAGACATACATTCTTGTTTTTTCCATCATTGCAAACAAGTCTGGATTATCTTTGGCCCATTTCATATCCCAGACATCTTTGCGCTCCAGCTTCAGTTGTTCACCTATAATATGCTGTCCTGAACTGTCTGTTACCCGTGTGTCCAAGTCAAAGAAAGTCAAAACACCCGAAAGATCTATAACAGCAAGACGACTAAAGGAGCATGGTTGGGAGGAGAAAAAGAACAGCTGATTAGTACTATTTAAAGCTGTAGGTTTTCAATTATTCACCAATAGATCAAATAAACTAAATGCCTGATTGAGATTTCATTGTAGTTTAACACCAGCAACTGACTTCAGTGGAGCTATCCATTATATAAACTGATATGGAAAAAAAAGAACAAGAACACAGATTGTGAAGGAAAACAGTTTGGAAGAGCAGTAATTTATATCAACCCAAGTAGGCTTGACCCTTGAAGGTTCAAATGTGTTCAACTCCCATTCAGTGCATCTTGGGAGATTCAGAGGAGGAACTGAGCAAACTGCAGAATCTTAATCTAAGCAGGCATCCTCCTCAACTGCTACACCAAAAGGATGGACCCCATATTATGCCCTAAAACTAAGCATCAGTCTTCAATTAAATTCATTTCCAATATTTATAAAAATGCTTCTATAATTTTTGTATTATGTTATTGGCACATTTAATAATAAACATTAGTTACAGTAATTAAATATTCCATTGTAAAAAAAAAAACACATATGTCTGCATAACTGAAAATCAGAAAGCCATTTTTGATAAATCATAATAACCACATTTTCCTGAGCTTTATTCTAAACAGTTGTGGAGATCAACAGGATTCTCCCTTAGTATGTTAGCTTAATAAAATAGAGAATTCTCTCTAAGAGAGTCAAGGAGTTCTACATAATGTGAAGTTTCCTGCTAAGAAATTAAACAAACAGGTTTGAAATGCAGAACTTCAGATTGTATCGTGTTCTTTAATATAAAAAATACAATTAGAAAGTCAATGCATCTATTGTGTTAATCAGAAACAGTGAAATCAAGCAATTAATTCCTAAAAACAATGCTGGGAACCATGTGTGCGCATCCATGGGAAGAGAGACTCAAAAAAATAATACTAATAACATTCAGCACTTCAATATGCTTGACGAGGGAGAAATTATTATCCCTATTTTGCTGATGGGGAAATGAATATGCAGAGAAATTAAGGTGACTAGTGCAGTCTCAAGGGAGACAATCCCAGGCAGTCCTAAATCCCAGGCAGTGCGTTACTCCCTGAATAAGGATGCCCTCTAGATATTACGAAATCAGACTCATAGATGTTTGGGTTGGAAAGGACTGTAGCAGATCATTGAGTCCGACCCCCTGCCCTGGGCAGGAAAGAGTGCTGGGGTCAGATGCAGGAGCATGTCTAGCCTCCTCTTAAAGACCTCCAGGGTAGGGGAGAGCACCACCTCCTTTGGAAGCCATTCCAGATTCTGGCAACCCTTACTGAAAATAAGTTCTTCCTGATGTCTAACCTAAATCTGCTCTCTGTCAGTTTGTGGCCATTGTTCCTAGCTACTCCAAGGGGTGCCCTGGTAAACAGCGTCTCCTATTCCTTGCCATCCCTCCTGATGAATTTGTAGGCAGCCACACGATCACCTCTCAGCCATCTCTTGCAGAGGCTGAAGAGATCCAGGGCCCTCAATCTCTCCTCACAGGGTTTTGCCTGCGGGCCCCTAACCATACGAGTGGCCCTCCTCTGGACCCTCTTGAGGTTGTCCACATCCCTCTTGAAGTGCGGCACCCAAAACTGGACGCAGTACTCCAGCTGCGGCCTAACCAATGCCACACAGGGGAAGTTTCACCTCCTTGGACCTGTTTGTCATGCACCTACTAATGCATGATAAAGTGTAGTAGTAGTTATGTAGTTATTGCTATGAAAACCACTGTATCATGAATGTCTCTCTATCAATATGTAATCACCTTTGCTGGCAAGACCTACATTACAACCCTCCCAAACAACAGTTTGTTGATAACTCAACTGCAGCAGAAACAAACTTTAGACAATGGAGTAAGGAAGGCCTAGGCAAACCAGTTTGAGCAGGTTTGTCTTCAGAAGCTGTTTGGAGCATTGGAAGGTTATATGCAAGGCTGACTACAGCAGCCAGATATACCACAGCACTTTGAAATGGTAAAAAACACCGTATTTTCTCATATATACAAGCACCATTTTTTTCTTTAAAAAAACCAAAAAAGCAGCTGCTGGAAATTGGAGGGTAGGAGCAGTTTCTGTTGCTTACCAGGCAAAACTGAAACTAAGTCTGCACAAGATCCAGAGAGAGCAGAACAATTACCAGACTTGCCTCCCTAGCTGCTGCCATTCAGTTCCTTACTACAAAGAAATACTTTTCTTCTTCTTTCTGCTTTTCAAAAATAAGGTGCATGTATGAAAGAAAATATGGAATATTATGTTACAAGGATGTAGCTGGGAGGGAAGCCAGTTAGTGAGCCCTGGCACTGACAGCCTGCCCTTTTTCCCCCACCAAGCTGCAGCTCTGCTCCCCACTGAGCTGTCACGGAGTTCTGCCTACCTCCTTGGGAGCAGGAGACAAGAAAGAACAGAGCACTGTGGGATACTGGGGGAGGAAGAACCCCGCTGTAGTGGTGCATATGCCTGTTTGGATGTTGCATGTGGTGCTTGCACCATTTTTGTAGCATTACAGGTTTCATGCATGTTTGAAGATCTACTTTCTGTGTGCCACAAGAACACATACAGCACTACAAATATGTCTGTCTGCAGCCTCAGGCACCAAATGTTTAAACCAGGGATGCTCAAACATTGTCTTACAAGCCAAATGCAGCCCACAGAGCCTTGGAATCCAGTCCACGAAGTTCCCCCTGGGGTGGTAATCTGGCAGAGGGGGACCAGTGGCCATTAATACAGCCACTCTCCCCACTGCCAAAATCCCAAACCCCAAGCCCTGCACAGCTGATTGGTGCTGGACTGTGCCCCCTCTCCCTTGGGGCTGGGCCACACCCCTCCATCTCAATTAGGACTGAGCCACACCCCTTCCTCCCTCAAAGCAGGGCTGGGTTGGGGACAGGCCATGCTCCTTTTTCCCCCTGCAGAGCCAAGCCATGCCCCCTTCCCCTGCAGGCCAGGCTGAGACCCTGCATGTGGCTTGATGGTGCCTGCTGCACCTGCCCCAGGTGCCATATTGGGACCACCAGCCAGATCTGGCCCCTGAACAGACAGGGCACTGCCCATCTAGCCTGTGGGGGTAAAGGTTTAAATCAAACTGGACATTTGATGGCTAGATAATTTGACAAAAGAGAAAGTTCACCTAGATATATCCCCATAATTCACAAGCAACCCCTTACAATTAATTAGAATATTGTCTCAAAGTCAGATTGCTGATCTGGAACTTACCTAGAGTTGCAGTTCAAAGAAAGCTGATATGCCCGACAGTTCAGGGTATACTTTTGAATTAGACCAACATTTGGAAGACTATATCTCTGAATGGTGCCAGATTCACGGCCCTAGGAAAAGGTAGTTTTTGTTTATTAAAGATAGTTTCCTAATATTAAACTGTTTGATATGTTTTCTTTATATGTTGTCCTAAACTAAAGATTTGTTGGATGAAGAACAATCCAGAAGAAATAAGAGGAACTGTATTACAGCATTAAACAAAACTCTGAGTAGCAATTTTCAAACGAGAGTTTCTTTATCAATCTGTTTAAAAGAATCACTACTCCTATTTTTTTCTGGTTTCCTTAAAATCACTAGGCTAAAAGAATCATATCTCTACTTTCTTCCACCTATTGTTTATCCCTCTGTCCAATCCCACGCGCTTATTTCTAAACTCAAGCTTGCCATAACCAAAACTATGGTCCTGATTTTTCTTCCCAAACCACTTCTTTCTGTGTATTGATGCCATCATGTTTTTCTCAGTCCTGCATCATAATCTCATTTTCATCTCTTATTTTAACCCATTTACCTAGTCTAAGGCCAACTATTCTCTTTTAAAGAAACCAAACTTTTCATTTCAGCCTTGAGGGCTACACGATGTTTGCATTCTATCCTTTGCACCCTTTCTAATCACGACTTTCTGTATAAAGTACTAATTCCTACAGATTCTTCATAGCACCTGATAAAGTAAGCCACTGCTTGCAAAAGCTTATGCATCTCTGATTTGGTTAGTCTATAAGGTGCAAATCTACCCTACCTTTTTTATGACGTCAGACTAATGTGGCAAAGTACCTCTCTACAATACAAACTATTGTAGCTACCTTCTCTTCAACCCCCACCCTACAAGTTGATAGCTGTAAGGCTTCTTTCCACTTATATCTGACAAAACCAAGCAAAATTCTGGATATGACCACTTAAATTTTGTCTTATTTCCCATTTGCCATGTAACAATTCATATAACTGAAGATCTTTGTCTCTAATCTGTTTCCAATTATTCTGTGCATTCTACCAACATACCAACATTACCAGCCTGGCTGCCCTTTAGAGATCTCTCTCACATTCCAAGTTTCATAAATAGAACAAATTCCCAATCGTACCTTGCTGGACTTCCCTACTTTCCTCAACAGGCCTACTTATTTTGTGGGAGCCATAAAGGGAAACGATACAAAAATTGCCAAATTAAGAATCTAGAATGATCCTTTCTTGTTCGGCTCTATTTTCTTATATCTGTCTTTCTGGGCTGGAAAGCCACCGGGCAGGGACTACTGCAGAGACTGTCCTGAAATCTGTCTTGTACAGTCATGCTTGAGGTTGAAACTTAAATAGTAAAATGATACTATCACTTCTCTCCATAGTAATGTAGAATAAAATATAAATGGCCTACAGTCATATATGATGCTATCATCTCATGTAAATATTTAATACTTAAATAGTTAAATAGTTAATACTCCAAGGATTTAAGGTTTGGGAGAGACATCCTGAGATCCATTTTACAACCAGCTCACAAGTGCAAGACACAACAAAACAAGTAATTGTACTACTAGCCTATGCTCTTTTCCCCCACCTTTATCTTAATCCATTTACTCTGGCAAGCAGTATAATACTGGACTGTCCTTTACATACTTCTTGTAAAATGGATGACAAGAAATGGAGATCATAATATGACAGGCTCCTTATTACAAAAGGCTGATTGTCATAATAAATGAAAAACACCTAGCAACTAGGGTGAATGAAGCCATACTCCTTAAAGACCCTGTTTTATTTATGTTATACCTTCCAACACTAAATAAAATAGTAACTCTGAACTTAAAAGGCTTTTTTTTAAAAAAGCCAAAGCATTACCACATTGCCCAGCCTCTGAACGTGTAAATAAATCATAATATTATATACACAATTTTATTGCAATGCAGACACTCATTGCTTTTGGCAATAAATCTGCTGAGAACATCATCCCTGTGCAAACAAACTTGAAGCACAGCTGGCACCCAAGTGAGAAGACATGCTTACTGTAAAGCACAAAATGAAGAATAAAACAGATCATGCATATGAAAAAAGTGTGTTCAGGGTCAGTTCATATTTACATGCATTTTACTGTACTCAGAATGCATCAAGTGTTAGTAAATCTTCTAAGATGACAGCCAAGTAATACTTTCATTTCTGATGCACAAACTGGGTTTATAAAGTTGAAGATAAATCTTGATCTCTTTATACATTGTCTCAATATAGCAATGTGATTATAGCAGTAACATAATAAGATGTAGTTAGTCATATTAACCTGTAGTCAAGTAGGAGGCAGGGTAGATTTGCACCTTACAAACCAGGGGCAAACTCATCTGGCCCCACCTGAGCCAGTCTGCAGACCAGACCAGGACAGACTCCCTGCCATTCACCACATGCACCAGCCCCTGAGGCTGGCACAGGGAGCATGCTGCCTACATGTGGGCTGGTGCTGGTACTTTAGCCTGTGTGGGAGTTAAGTCTGAAACTGCACACTACTGACACCCTAGACCCTGCGATACATGCAGTGCTGGATTCAGCCCACATGCCACAGGCAGCACACATGCCATGCCACCCCCCAGGGCCCTAAACACAAGTCCCAGGGCTGCTTTGTGGTGTGCACGCTGCATGTAGCACAAGGGAGCCAGCTTGGGGTGCATGCTCCATGTAGCACCCTGCTGGACCCAAAGCCAGCATGTAGAGCTGTCGGTGGGGCACCGTATGGAGCGCATTACCCATGCTGGCCCCCTGTGCCAAACGCAGCATGAACAGGCAGTCCAGCCCCTTGTGCCATTTGCTGAACCAGCCAACCCTGATGGGGGGTAAAGGTCATGGGCTGCATGCAGTGCCCAGATCAACCCCATGCTGCCTGCAGTGTGTGCCCAGGTCCAGCCCACATGCCCTATGCAGCATGTGGGGCCAGAACTAGTCCCACAGACCAGATTAGATGGTTCATGGGCAGGATCTGCCCCATGGGCTACATGTCAGACACCCCTGTTATAGACTAACCAAAGTATATACAGGTCTACTTTGGAGAGACAGACACACAGAACTACATTGGTTAGTCTGTAAGATGCCAATACCCTGCCTCCTACACTAATGCAATAAGGCAAGGGTTTTTTTTGCCCGAGATGGCCATCGACCTAGTGTGGCTGCAGGATGGAAGTCTCTACCTCTTCCCAACAGCCAGCTGCCTGCACTAATCTGACTTCTCATCAGTGAGGGAAGCACAGATGCTGCAGAGTAGCAGGCTCCTCAGTGGAAGACAGTGCTGCAGGGGGACAGCAGCACAGCACCAATTTCCCATGTTGATTCGAATCTCTTCGAGGGCTGGATCCTGGCTGCAGGCCCTATGTCGCCAACCCCTGCAACAAGGATTCAAGCCTTTCACTCCTTCAAATGTGAACAGTTATGTAAATCCACATGGAAAGTTATTTTGACTTACACTGCCCATGGGCAGACAATCACAAATTATATAAACTGTTACTTACCACAATGAGTGTCTTATCAGATGCTGTTATTGCTGAAATTGGATCCCTTGTTCCCTAAAATCATATACAAACTATCAGAACACTAGTTTTAAAAGCAGCTTAGTGTCCAAGAATAGTAGCAGAGCATAAATACAGTGAACTTCATACCAGGAGATCCAAAATTTGGAATGGGCTTGCATTTTTGCCACTGAGGAAAGGTCCAATCACAGAGATGCTGTCTTTAGTTTAAACTTTTTAAAATGTGCTTCAATAAAGACAAATCTGTTATTTGTTATTGTTAATTTCAAATATATCTGTGCATTGGACTTCACTTGCTCCCTTTTATGCCTTCTGCCTCTTGCAATCTAAGCCAGAGGTTAACTCCCCCAACAGTTGGGGATTGACAATAGAGAAATAAAATTTGTCAACAATAAATACACAAACCTTACGCACCACAAGGATCTACAGGGGCTGACCAGGGAAGGAGCTATCAAACAGTGGGAAACAGTACGCAGACTGCTTAATGCAAATGTGTAAGAGATGCTTCATAGGACAAGTAAAACAATATGAAGACATGGAAAGCCTACAAAACCCTACTTTTCAACAGAATATCAAAGTAACAAAAAGTGAGCATGGAAGGCTGAGATAAAAAAAGAGCCCCTGGTTCAGTTTAATTGTGTTTTTATCTCAACAGAGCAATAAGAGGGGCTATCAGCTATTTTTAAAAATAATGGTTACTCACACCTTGTTTTCTTGCTTTTATTAAATTTCTCTCATATGAAGGCTGTGGATCAGATCCAGATTAGTTTTGTAGGCACCTCAACAGGCTCTCATGTGTAACTGAAGCCCCTAAATTCCAAAGAGTGAAAAGAGCCACAAAACTCAGTATGCGACTAAATTCAGATGGCACCTCCACTCTGGATCAAAAAGTTCCCATGTTGCCTAGATTTGAACTTCTGTGAATACTTAGGCTGTGGACAGATGTTATATCTACATTATTACAAATGCCTTTGCAGCACTACAGAAATAAAAGGGACAGATGAATATGCCCCAGCATGTTAAAAAATGGCAGAAATACTACAAAAATGTCCCTGACTGAAACCACACTGTTTTGTAAACCAAATATAACACCACTACTGGGGGTCTCTAAGTCCCCAAGCATCCCATAATACGAGGAAAGGAGACAAGTGGTGGTGGAGCAGGACAAGCTGACAGGGAATGGCAGTGCTGTCAAAAAGAGACCATGATTGGCAGGGAGGGAGGTGACAAGGATTGCTGCTGCTGGCATCATCACTGCTGCAAGAACCATGAGTGCTATGCCCAGCTGTCAGGGATACTGCTGTTATTCTGAAGCCTGGCAAAGCAGCAGGCTCTCCCACTGATCACTGATAGCCTGCCTGGTGGGCTCCCTCCCCAGCAGGGCAGAGTGCCAGAGGTCAGCGATCAGACTCACTGACAGGCTCCCCTTGGGTGGGGGTAAGGAAAGGAGCAACTTCCTGGCTGGAAAGCATGCCGTTGTGGCAACTTAGTAGTGCTCCAGCCAGGAGGCTGTGAACATACGTCCTGTCCTACCACCGCTTCCCTCCTAGCTATGTTCATTGCTCTGAGGCACTTGTAGCACTACAAATGCATGTCTGTTCACAGCCTTAGAGGCAATCCAGTTTGATCACTCAGACCCACAACTCCACCTAAGTTCAACAGCAATCCAGGTTGGTGCTAGGTAGGTCCATAGCAGAGTTCCAAGCATGGCTAATTCTTCCTGATGGCATTGACACCAGCTCAAATCTCTGCATAAGAACGAAATAGCTAGAGCACAGGAAGTGGGAGACCTGGCTTCTAGCCTCACACTGCCTGGGGAAATTCAAACCCGCATCTCCCACTTTTCAGGAGTGTATCCTCATCCACCAGTCACCAGCATGGAAGCACCCTTCAACCCCTCCTATTGAAGTGGGACCACTGAGCAGCCAATGGAAGAGCCATGAGGCCAACAAAGAAGAGGGAGCCTGCCTGTGTGACCTTGTAATTAGGGCACGCAACTGATGAGGTGAAGCCCGAGATCTGGTCCCTATTCTTATGGTTCTCTCTCTTTTTTAATCATGAAATTTATTATAAAATGAATACACAATCTTGACTTGAGGGACTGAAGGACCAGGGTCTCCTACAGCCTAAGCAAGTCCTTTATCCACAAAGCTATTATGCGAGAGGCACCAGCACCACCATGAGTCAGTTAGGCATCATACCTCAAAAGCAGAACCATTCATTCTGGATCCCAAATAAATGGTAGGTCCAAATGGGCAGCCCCGAGTCAGGCATCTAAGCTCCTAAGAGTAGCAGGAGTTCAGACATTTCCTATTGGTTACCTCTAAATCTCTCCAGACTTTGTGACCCCCTTTTTGGAGGTGCCTACCTCTCCCCAGTTCCCTTTACAGGGATCCTATTCAAACTATATCTTCCTGGAGGTAGGTATCTACGTTTTTAGCCTTCTAACTCTGAAGTTCTGTGAAAAGGAGAATGCACTCGTTTACAAAGCATGTATAAGAAAAATGGTGTGTAAGAACAGGATAGGGCAAAACAACATATATGAAATGGGAATGAAAAAATTGCTATTTAATAGCCCTATTTATTCCAATACACATTAAATGGAACAGAGAAACACTAGGCTCTCTTTCAAGCAAACAATGACCGTATAACTTACTGGTTAAAAATGGTACTTACATGAATGGCTTTGCTGTAATCAAGTACCCCATCTGCTGCTCCTGAAGGAGTGTCATCAATGTGATAGATCCTGAAGTTTGCCAAAAGTAAAAGGGATCAATTTAAGTGAAAAAACAGGACTTCAAGGCTGAAAAAAATTACTTCAATTTGGGCAAATTCCTGAAAGACTGTTTTTAAGCTCTGAAAGGGTTCTTTTAAATCAGTTCTAAGTAAAGTTATTCCTCGCTGTATCAAAAACAAGCTAGGTACTAGTCTTCACTTTCAATACCCTTCACAAGCCATTCCTACATTCCTATCCTCCCTCATTCAGTAGCAAGAGATTGATTCACACTTGGACATTGGCATCCATCACCCATGTTTCCTTTTCATCGCCTTCATGCTTTATTCACAAAACTAGAACATTATCTCCTTTCAGAAGCATCCTCAAAACTCTCCTCCTTGGCAGTCATGAGATCTATCATAAGGACCAATACTGGCTCGTTTCCTGGTGATCCCGTCTTCATCTGTTGTGTCTTAGCTCTGCCAGCCATAATATATTGGCTAGGACTACCCCCAAAAGTCAAATGTTGCTCTGCTGGCAAAACTCCAAGCATGGACATCACCCTGCAAGCAAAATGTGGTTTTATGCCAACAGAGTGCATGTTTTCACTTGTCTGCCAGGTGTAGCTCTGGTGGTGGCAGGAAAATTCCAGCTAGTGGCAGAGATGCATGAGCACCAGAAAAGGGACAGCTTCCATAGCACTGTCCCAGCAGTTAAAACAGCAGTATAGACATAACCTTGAACTGGTCTTTGGGGCAAAAACAATCCATATGCTCTGTTTTTGTACAATGCCTAGCCCAAAGGAATCATGAGCCATAAGCAGAATCACTAGGTACTGTGATAACACAAATAAAAACCATATTTTTCCACATGCCACAAATAAGACACACACACGTCATTTTTGGAAAGCCATAAATGAAGAAGAAAACATTTTTTCACAGTTATGGCTGCATAGAGCAGGGACACAGCCTAACCTTCAGCTCACTCACCCTCCCTTTCCTGTTCAGGGAAAAGCTAGTTTTAACCCTTTCATATATGACATATAAACAGCTCTTGGCTGCTGAGCCAAAAGCTGAAACTGTGCTGTTAAAGACTGGACACCATGGGCAGATCTAGGATTTTGAAAAGAGCTAAAATCAGAATTCGGGGCTCTGAAATAGAAGAAGGGTAGCTAGAAGACAGGAAAATTGCAAAGGAAGAAATAGCTTGATTTGTAGAATGTCAAGACCATTAAGGCGGCAAGAGGAGTAAAGAACAATTAGCAGGAATCAGGAGGTGTTTATACACATGCTCCAGGAGTGGGCGCTTTAATTAGAGTGGCTTTTGGAGCTGCTCTAATTAAAGTGCCTGGAGCATCACATGCTGAAAAATGGCAGCAGCAGTGCTTTAACTAAAGCTCATTGAACAAGCTTTAGTTAAAGTGCCCCCGCCACCATTTTTCAGCGCAGGGACACTAAAACACATGATGCTGAAATCTGTTGGATCATAGTAATTACCACACTCCAGCAGACTCAATTAATCGAGTCTGCTCTGACAGCCTCACTGCACATGTATTAGTGCCCAGGTAGATTATATAATAAACCAATTGTCCCCATCACCACTGCCTGAAAAGAAATGCCACTGATGCTGACAGGCAATTGGCTTTAAACTTTGGGAGCACGAACCAAAGCAGGGTGTGATCCAACCACAGCGTCCCCCTAGACCTGTCCCTGCTAGACTCTGCTCTCCCTCCTTGAAGCTGTAGGAAAGGAGAGAAAGAAAAGCAGCAGCAGGCATCTTACAATATTATAATATCTCTATACTTCAGTTCTAGGTAAAAAAAAAATCAGCTTCCCCACATAAGACATACACTCCCTCTCCCCAATTTTGGAAAGCTAATTTTTGGGGGAAAGACAAGTGTGGTATGTAAGTAAATACAGTAATCAGACACAATGCGACACACAAATATGGAAATGTGGGAACAGAGAGAACCTGGTGGATTTTGAGATCGCTTTCCACACAGATGCTGACATAGTACAGTTAAAAATAAAATCATGCTCAGATCACAACTCTTTGGAGAGTAATGGTTTCACTGCCACTCCTACAGACAAGAGTGAGAAGAAAGCCTTTTGGAGGAAAGATGCAGCAAGTGCATCTTTTGTTGAGTCTGAGATGGGTGGGATGATTTAGTCAAGGACAATCCTGCCTTGAGCACAGGGATGATCAGATGACCTCCCAAAGTCCCTTTCAGCCACATTTTTCTATGAGTCTATCATTTTATGGTAGCAGGCCATATACAACTTAAGAGGTCAAAGATAGTCTGAGACATGGGCCTGCTTAGAAGGGACAACTTAGGGTTGGAAAAGTAGCCCTAGGAGTCATCAAAATGGCAGCAGAAGTTAAAAGTCACAGAAATGGAAGAATGTGTCTAAGGACAGAGTTTACAGAGGTTAAAAAGGTGGGAAAAATATGGAGCTCTGCCAGTGGCAGGAAAAAAGGGAAGCTACCAAGGGGAGACACTAAACAGGAAGTCACCGAGGTAGGAGTGTGTGAACAAGCTCCATTCTAAGAAAGGTCTAGATAATAACACGTTATCATAAAAGAGCTATTCCTGGCTATATATTCAGACTGACTGGTGAATAAGCCAATTTAAATTCATAAAAATGAAAGGTGGCGGAGCAACTATTTCAAGCAAGTGTGAGGAGAAAGGTGAATTCTGTCATAATGGATAAAGCGAAGGAAAAAGACAAAGCTTGAAGACAAACCTTTCTCTGCCTTCTTTTCTAGTCCGAGCCACCTGATTAATTTCCATTGCTGTGAGCTTCTTGGCCACACGGTATTGCCAGATGTAAAAAGCTTCTTTTGAAGCAGCTATCACATGGGTTTTGGTCATTGTAACGAACAACGGCCCTGTCATAAAAATCCAGGTAACAGCTGTAAAAAGCAGTCTTCTTTCACATAGCCAAATAAAGTACATAGACAGCATTACTTCCTTCACTGTTAAAAATAGTTACATGTAAAAAGCAAGGACCGTTGTGGGTGATATCTTCTACTTGACTAACTGCATGGTTGGGATAGACAGACAACCTTCTGAATGAAAAGCAGGCTTGGGACCTCTCTTACACGGAAGATACAGAGACCGCAAAAAGTCTTTCCTTTCCATAAATCAGGGCTGTCCAACTGGCAGCCCAAAGGCCACATGTAGCCCAAGGGGGTTAATTTGTAGCCTCCGGGTTGTTAATTTGCAGCACCCGAGAGGTTAATTTGCTCTCCTCAAGAGCTGCATGACAGGCAGCCAGGGGCAGATAAATATTAATTTTCTAAGTTTTTTAGGGGCCCCGTGAGACAGACAGAAACACCTGTCGGGCCACATTTTGCCCACCCCTGCCCTAAAGAATGGTGCAGTACCCAGTATTTTTTATGTAGCCCAGCCTGTGGCCTGGGAGCTGAGGAGGAGGACCGGGGAGATGAGAGGGGACTGAGCTGAGTGCAGTGTAGGAGGATAGGGGGCACATGTACAGCATGGTGTAGGAGAGAGGCACCTGAATAGCATGTGAGCCAAGGGATGCGCTGCTCATCCTGATGCAGCCTGTGTGATATGCAACAAGCCTTGCTTTAAATCATCCAAAATTCTATTAAAGTATAAAACTAATGCATAACTCTGAAGGGCGCTATAAACTCTCCACAAAAAGAAGTAATAAAAGAGCAAACAGATGGATAAAGGGTGGCTGAATGAGTTTTCATCTTCCTAAGACTGAAAGGGAACTATAAAAGGTAGCTAATGAATGTAGAATACTGTACAACAAGGGTACAGAATCAAGCTGAGAAGCTTTAGATACTCTGTATCTAATCTCTTTAATACAGAGCAGCGGTTTACATGCAGTTATCTGTTTATTTTAATAATTAGCTACCTACAACCAAAAGGTACAGATTCACTCACAATACAGAAGAACACCAAACTGCCCTAACTGGGACTAAACCCAGTGTGGTATTGAAAACATGATTCATTTGTAACTTGTATGATGTAACTAACCTCCACAATTAGAATGGTAACACCTGATGAAGACTGCCTTGCATTCGAAAGCTTGCCTAACTTAATCCCAACCATGCAGTACAGATACCATGCACAAAACCCCTAGCTTATAGCATCAATCCTGGACCATCACGGCTACATCACTCCCAAACAACCATAACTAACCTCTAGGCACTCTTGTAGCAATACAAATGTAGCAAACCTATTGCTACTTTAGTTCTGCTTCATCCAGGTTGCATTGAAAGAGATTTTCCTTATTTATATGGCTGCTGGAGCATGCCGAGGTAATAGTTGTAGCAGATGCACATTTCTGAGATGCGATTCCCCACCACCACCACCTCTGAATTGGCTAAAAAAATTACCACAGTCCATAGAGAATGAGTTTTAAAGGACTTTGTTAACATAACGGAATTTAGAAATGTATTTTTTTTAGTTCCCATATATAGCAAGAGATTTCCTAATCAGAGAGAGAACTCTTTATAGAACTTCAAACAAAAGAAAGAAATGGAATTGCAGAAACATGTACCAACATACAGCTGATGGGAGATGCAACTGACTGAAGACCATTTATCTGGCACTCAGCTGCATTCATGAACTCTTTTTACAAGGTTATCAATCACTTTCATTCTAGTCTAATTGGTGCACAGCTGTACATTTCATAACAGTCATGATTCTTTCAACCTTTAAATAAAAAATGTGATCACATTTTTATGATTTCTGAAATACAGATTCTTTGGTTGCAAACCAGAAATTTTAGGTTCAGTACCAGTGAACAAACATCAAACACCTTAATAACTGTGTTATGCCAGGAACCGGATTTTGTTTAATTTCCTGATAAAACTGGGCATTCACTAAACAGCGCAGCTATTTCAGTTTCATAGTTGGTAGAGTCAGAAGGGACCTGAGCAGATCATCAAGTCCCTGCCATGGTAGGAAAGAGTACTGGGGTCAAACAACCCTGGTAAGGTGTTCACCTGGTTTAATAAAACCAAATTTAGAACACGTAAATTGATTGAAAAGAGTGAACAAGCCCCCAGTAATTGGATGGGAAAAGAGATAATGAATTTTGTTTATAAGGGTACGACCATACAGACCATGGAAGCTGATAAGTTTTAAGCAAAAACATGTTTTTGGGGGGGCTCTTTTTTATTAAATTCAGATTTATTTTTAATATTTATTAGAACTATGCCTCTACCTTTAAAGTTTTTTTTAAAAGTCTCATCCCCATAAGAGATTTCAATGGAAGTATTCTTGCACTTAAATTTAGGCACACACTTAAGTAGCTTGCTGAATGGAGATCGATTACTTCCTGATATCAAAGAACTTCAACCATAACAAAGAGTATAGTACACAATATGTTATGAGTTTGATTTCATAGATATCAAATTATATATATATTATATATACACCTACCACAAGAAAGTTGAAGGATAGTTAAAATTGTTATGGAAAGTTGTATCTCTAAGGAGGATAAAATAATGCAAAACAATGAGTAGTGAAGCCAGAATCAGGATACCATGTTTCAGAACTTTCACTCAAAGGCATTTGTTTTTCCACTTTACACTTCTGTAGATTTGGCAGGCCTACTTAAAAAGGAATTTTACAGGATGCATATGAAACAAAAATACTGAGTCTTCGGCGTGTTTACCATAGCCCAATGAAAGACTTATTTGTTGAGTTTGATCTAGCAAGACTACAAAAATCTTTCAAGGTTCAAGAAGGCAAATAGTCCTACCCCAAGTATTTGCCTTCTCTGGGTATGAATACCTAGCTATTTTACAAATGATAAACTGATCTTAGTAAGGAACATTGTAGATCTATTTAGAGAATACATTTACAATCTGACACTTGAGAAGTGGAAGAAATTATATAGTTTTTTTATTAATATGTTAACTTAAAGAATTTTTAAAATGTTGATAAAAAGAAAGTTCATAGGTTCAGAAATTCATAGATTGTAAGGCCGGAAGGGACCTCGGAAGATCATTGGGTCCAGCCCCCTCCACCAAGCAGGAAAGATAACTGGGGGTCAGGTGACCCCAGCGAGGTAACTGTCTAGTCTCCTCTTGAAGATTTCCAGGGTAGGCGATTACACCACCTCTGGAGGGAGCTTATTCCACAGTCTGGACACCCTGACTGTGAAGAAGTTTTTCCTAATGTTGAGCCTGAATTGATCTTCCAGCAGTTTGTGGCCATTACTTCTTGTTTTCCCCTCGGGTGCCCTGGTGAACAGTTGTTCACCAAGTCCTCGATGTACTCCCGTAGTGTAGCGATAAGCTGCTACCAGAACCCCTCTCAGCCTTCTTGTCTTCAGGCTGAAGAGTCCCAGATCCCTCAGCCTTTCCTCATATGTCTTGCCTTTTAAGACTCTAATCATATGAGTGGCTCTTCTTTGACCCGCTCAAACTTATCCACATTCTTGTTAAAGTGTGGTGCCCAGAACTGGACGTAGTACTCCAGCTATGGTCTCACCAGTGCTGACTAAAGCAGAAGAATCACCTCCTTCATTTTGCTGGAGATGCATCAATTGATGCATGCCAGAGTATTATTTGCCCTACTGGCTACAGCATCGCACTGCCAGCTCATATTCATACTGTGGTCTGTTATTACCCCCAGGTCCCTTGCATTCGTGGTGCTAGTCAGTTTGGTTCCGCCAAGCCTGTAGGTGTGTTGGGGGGTGCTCATCCCAAGGTGGAGCACTTTACATTTCTCAGCGTTGAACTTCATCAGGTTCCCATCCACCCAACTTGCTAGCTGGTCTAGCTCCACCTGTAGCCTATCTTCAAGCATCACCACGCTACCCCATAACTTGGGTATCATCTGCAAACTTGGCCAGTGAACTCTTCAACCCCACATCCAAATTGGTAATAAAGATGTTGAAAAGTACTGAACTGAGCACTGACCCCTGCAGGACACTGCTGCCCACTTCTCACCAGAATGAGACAGATCCATTCACTACAACTCTCTGGGTCCTATCCTGCAGCCAGTTTCTCATCCACTTGACTGTCTCAGAGTTAAGCCAACAATCCTTCAATTTTCTCACAAGGACATTGTGGGATACTAAATCAAAGGCCTTCTGGAAGCCTAGGTATACAATGTCAACCTGCTCTCTCATGTCCAGATGGTGAGTTACCTGGTCATAGAAGAAGATGAGGTTGGTAAGGCAAGACCTGCCCGCAACGAAGCCATGCTGGCTGTCATTCAAATCTTACCTTCTGCAAGCTTCTTGCAGACAAAGTCCTTGATGAACTTTTCTAGGATTTTCCTTAGGATGGAAGTTAGGCTGACTGTCCTATAGTTACCCGGATCCTCCCTCCTACCCTTCTTGTGGATGGGCACAACATTGGCCCTCTTCTAGTCCTCAGGGACTTCTCCAGATCGCGGTGAGTTATGAAAGGAGTTTTTCCAGGGGCTCCACAATGACTTCAGCCAACTCCTTCAGCACTCTCAGATGAAGATCACCCAGTCCTGCTGACTTGTATAAGTCTAATATTATTAATCGGTCATACGTCAATTCTATGACAATAGTAGGAAGGTGATTATTCGTACCGTGCTCATCCTCTACTCTACCTGGCATGGTTTTCCCCTTGGTCTGGTGAAAGACTGAAGCGAAGCAGTCATTCAGGTGTTCAGCTTTCTCCTGGGTGCCGGTAACCAGGTCTCCTGAGTTGTTGAGCAATGGCCCCACACTCCCATTTGTTTTCCTCCTGTTCCCTATGTTCCTACCATATCAGAGATCCAGAATGGGGACACATGACACTAGCCCTGTGGCAATTCACCTTGGATTTTACTCCCAACTAAAATTACACGTGTATCCAGAGCAGGCACACAACCAGTTCTCTGAAGACAGTGGTCTCCAGTCGGTGCTATTAAAGCCCCTAACCATTAGGTGGCAGAGGAGCCAGAAATAGTTCCCATAGCTGGCACTGAGCAAAGGGCTCCACAGGATGACGCTGACTAGAGCTACAGACATACAGAAGCTACACTGGGGTCAAGTCCATCGACTTCCTCACTTTCCAAGAAGTGCCTTTCCCCCAGAGTGGAGCGAGTTACATCTGTGGGAGGCTCTATGCCCCATGTCCTTTACACTTTTACTCTGAAGTAGGATAAACAGTGTCATTTGTCCCTACTTTCAAGGAGCAAGAAGGAGATAAAATTAAAAGGGATAGAAAAGGTTTACAGATACACAGCAAAAGGAGAGAAGCTTCCGGTCAGGGCCAGAGCTGGAGCTGTAGCAGCTCCCCTGCATCTACACAGCCCCCATCACGCTTCCTCCCCACCCCTTCAGCTGCATCACACGATCCTGCCTGAGCTCACACTCCTCACCACACAACCTCCACAGGCTGTGCTGTGCAATCTACCCCGTGCTTACCCCCAACACCATGTGATCTTCCTTTATTGACCCCCTCACCCATGCAGTCTCCCCACATCCCCCACAACCCACCCAACATGTTCTCTCCACGCTCCTCCCAGGCACCATACAGATCTCATGTACTCCCCTCCCCATACACTTCGTCCATTTCCCCCATGCTCCCTCTGGACCACACACATGGCCTTCTCCATACTCTCCCCCACAGTTTCCAAGTGCAGATTCCCTGATTCTCTAGGCAGCCTGATCCAATGCTTGCCCACCCTTGTAGTCAGAAAATTCCTCCAAATCTCCTGCCTAACTTTTCTCTGCTGCAGCTTGAGGTCAATCAGCCACAGAGAAAATCCCATCTCCACCCTCTCTACAAATCACCCTTCAGGTATCCCAAACCTGTTATCAACTCCCACTTTGGTCTTCTCTTCTCCAGACTAAATAACCCTAGCTCTTCCAGCCTCTTCTCATAAGTCATGTTTTCCAGACTTCCAATAATTGTGGTTGCTCTTTGCTGGACTCTTTCCAATCCATCCACATCCTTCTTGGAGTTAATAGCATAGTATTAATAGCAGCACCATTTGCAAGTCAAGGAAATTGATTCTTCCACACTATTCAGCAATGCTGAGGCCTCACCTGCAGTATTATGTCCAATTCTGGGCACTACACTTCAAGAAAGATGTGGACAAATAAGAGTTCAGCAGAGGACAACAAAAATCATTAGAGGTCTGGTCTCGAAAACATGACTTATGAGGAGAGGTTGGAAGAACTGTCATCATTCAGTCTGGAGAAGATAAGAGTGAGAGTACGAGTGGAGAGGGCTTGCTAACAGTCTTTTAGTATGTCAAGTTTAAAAGGAGGATGGTGGGCACAGGGGACAGGATAAGAAGCAAAGGTTATAAGCTGCAGCAAGGGAAATTTAGGTTGGATATTAGGAAGAACTTCTCACTACAAGTATGGGTAAACAGTGAAACAAATCACCTAGAGTGGTTGTCGAATCTCCAGCCTTGGTAGTTTTTAAGAGCAGTGTAGACAAACAATTGTCTAAGATGGTTTAGGGCTAGATCACTTCCTGAGGTCCATATAACCCCTACTTTTCTAGACTTACAATCATTGTAACTGTAATGGGCAATTAGAATCACTAAAAAGACTTAGTGACATAAAGAACAGTTATTTTGCTAATTAAAAATAGCGGCTTTACATGCAAATCTTAACATGTTAGTTTTCTATGCGGGAACCACGGTCAGCGGGAATGCCTACTGATTATATTCCCATTATATTTTTAACAAAATCTAAGGGAGATTTAGTAGTCAACACAATAGAGAATCATAGTAGATACTACACAGACAGGGCAGAGTGTATGGGCTTGCAAAAATAAGTGTTTTGCTTTAATGACCAATAGTTTTATATGGTAATTTAAATCACAATTTGTATAAGGAGTGGGAAAAGCAAAAAATTAATATTGTTAGCAATGTTGCTTACCAATGTCAATATATTTTGGATCCAAGGGAGTACCAATAGAATTGCACAGAACCAGCACATACTGTTTGGAAATAAAAGCAAGTATCAATATTACTATGCGTGTATTTTAGTACATCAATATTTTCTATTTATGAAGGTATATCTCAGAACCTACACCACTGTACATGATCTCAATCTTGTTCAGTAACACGTTGAGCTGAAGTACCAAAGCAAAAGTACAAATAAAGCAATATAAAAATGAGACCTTTGCCATTGCACTTACCTCCTACCTCTGTATGTGACACAAAGTATTAAACATGAAAAAGACCAGCTGGATTAAACTAAAAGACTAAATTGACTAGACCAAAGCTGACATTAAAGAATGGAAATTAAAGGGTTGGTAAGAAACCTAGTCTCCCCTGAAGTTCCTTGGTAGGCTGCGATTCCTTATCAGCATCCTTTCCCTAGACCTCTTTCAATAACTTTAGCCTTTGTATCAGCAGTGGGCCAACAGGTGTCTAATAATTTGTAGCCCAATACTTCTCTTCCTGATGGAAGGAAGTACTCTTTTTATGTCTATAATCACTCCCCCTCAACACCATACGGTGTGGTGCAGCTGCTCTAAAACTAAACAAAGTCTTATCATTATTACTTTACAGCCAGTGCTACTAGATGAAAGCTATGAACAGTAACAGCGGTAACTGATCAGGCTGCCAGGAGATTCAGGAAGATGTAAATCATATGCAAAACCCACCCGCCTTCAAGGAAAGGCTTCCTACTGGTGACTGGTGTTTATGGTTTCACGCCCTGGAACCAGTAGCAGCCTTATGGGAGGGCAAACCGGGCAACTGCCTGGGGCCCCACACTTTATAAAAATTAATTACACTGAATATTTGTATTATCAATATTGTATTAAGACACTTTCACTGAAATTTCATGGATAGGGCAAGGTGAATTTGACATTGAAAATGTCCAACTCACTTATTAGGTCATCAGAATTAAGCCTCCAAGGGGCCCCAAGTGACTCTCTTGCCCAGGGTCCCAACAACCCTAAGCCCACCACTGCTGAAACCAAAACATTTATATCAAATAGTTTTACCATAACTGAATGGGGAAATGGGCATCTCTTCAGTCAGATACATGAACACTGATAATGTGTTCTGTAGGAGCTGTGTTCAGAAGTAGGGTTTCTATTCCTAAGATCATTTTTGTTCACCAGAATGGAGAAAAGATGTCTTCAGTTCATCAACGTACTGATTGATTCTAACTGCATTAGTAGATTATGGGAAAACTCTATAGCCTGCCCCTTGAAAATGTTGTACAGATAGCTTATTCATAAATTAAGGAAAGCAGAAATATACAGGGTTTAAATTGCCTGCAAGCTATGCAAAGCCTGTCTTTCAGAAGAAAAAACTTGAGCACACAAAGGGAGAGTGATCATGTTAGAGTGAGTCACCTGTTAAAAACTCTCAATTTCCTCAGCAAGCAGAGACCCACAAGCTGAACCATGATTTACCTTTGCCAATTTGTCAACATTTTTCTTGGTATTCCCTAATTTCACTTTCAAAAAATATGGCTTTGATGATGTGAGAGACCACACCCGATTTTTTTTTTCCAAGCAGTTTAGTTTGTAACGTACTTCAACCCTTTGCTGGAACATTACCCCAAATTTGTTCACTATTCAGTTTCTCTTCCACATCCATTGTACTGTACTCTTAGGGTTCTACATCACTAAAGCAGAGATTTTGGAGTCTGATGGAATGAATTTCCGGGATACAGATTTGAATGGGCAGAAAAGATAGAAAGGTGCTGGCTGGAATTGGAACCATATTGAATGGCACAGCACATGGTCAGATTAAAGTAGTAGGCCAGAGAATTAGAAGAAGTGAAGCCACACCATGAGCTTTAAAAACATAACCTTCTCATTTTTCCTTGTGATACTTCCTAAACAGCTGTTGCTAGAAGCTCTTCTGCTTCAGTCTCCACCTCACAGTCTGTCATTAAATTTACCTCCTTAGATTACGATTCTAGCAAACTGAATTTACTGAAAAAACAAGATTCCTCAGAAAGCAATTTCTAGTGAACCAATACTAGAAAGAAAAAAAGCTTGTTCACTTTTGCCACTGAAGACTGACCAGCCCTTGGTGCAACAGCAACACTAGAGACACAGACCTATCTATAAGTGGGGAAGAAACTGGAAGAAGATAAACCACATTTGACATTCTAATTTTTAGTGACTAGGGAAAAAAAATCAAGTTTCTTCACCTCTCAATAGAGCTACAGAGATTTAAAAAGTGCAGTCCAGGAAAATCTCAATTAATTATAATTATACTTCCACTTAGTTGAATGTTTCTAGCCATTTCTCATAAAGGGACATCTTCAGCACACAGCACAACACACCACCACTGTACAATCAGCTGACACACTAAAAGTATTCTTTTACCGTTGCACCAACTGACTCCATCTCATGCTCCTCCTTTGTAAGCAACATAAAAATGATATAAAAAAAATAACTGAATTAATTCAGAAATGAAAATAGTAACAAATAATATAAATCTGGTACCTTCACATCTTATGTCAGATATTTCTCTAGAGCAACTGTTATAAAGGTCATGACAAAAAAGAGCATGCAATACAATCACAATTTATTTTTTATAATTTCATTTTCTACTCTTCTTTATGTTTTAATATTTAATTAATATTTTTAATATTTTGTCTACTGTTTATGTAGCAAAAGACAAGAGGACTCTTTCTTATACAGCCATTAGTTGTGTTTGTAAGGAGAAACAACATAAAGTTTGATAATTAACTGCTTCTCCGTCTTTTGCTTCATTTTTCTTCTGTGTTCCAAGTAGGGAGGATATTAAGTGAATGGTAATATTAATAGTGATGGAGGGTACATCATCAGAAAATGGGGCCTATTGCCAGTCTTTTTCTTCTAGGTTAGGCCACATCTTGAATTTTAAAAGGGATGTTTTCAGCAATAAATTGAGAGTAAAATAAAGTGAGAGTAAAATAAAGACTTTACCTGAGGTTGGCTTTCATCAGCTTTAGTTGCCAAAATGCAGAAGTCTCCACAAGTAGTTATGGAAATCAGACTCTTGACATATTTCACGTACTTCTCATTGTTTTTCGTATCCCAAAAAACTACACAATACTCTGGACGATCAGGTCGAGTATATGCATAAACTACTGTATTGGAGCAGTAACCCCACTGCCGAGACAGGTAATAGTGTCAAATTCTATCAGAAACTATTCAGCTCTATTTAACATTGTGAATCATTGGCAATATCACTATTGTAATCATCATGAGTGATAATGTGACTGAGTAAAACATTATAGAAATGATAAAAATGAATGTTATGTTCATGGGGATCCGGTTTTTGGTAGAAACGGTTAACAGATTAGAAAATCACTACGACCCAAGTCACTGAGAAATCCTTCTAAGCAGCACAAAATCTCTGAAAGGGTAGCTATAACGCAAGATTTGTATACTAAGTGAAATAATTCTTGATAACAATTCAAGATTATTTTAATGATGGTAGAAACTTCCACTATATTTCTATAAGACCTCCCATAGCACTGCTTTTACTACAGATCAACTGCTTGTCACAAGAGTTCACAGTCTTGCTGCTAATACTTAAGAAAGATATGGGAACTGGAAGGTTTAGACTGGTAATGATGTACAAGGCCTTTCATCTCTAGGTCATCCAACCCAGGTCAATAACGACTCTCAATCATTACCATCTGACTGCATTTCAGTGACTCATCTGAACAGCCAGTTCCCACTAGGCATTTTGGTATACCCTTCTGATTTAAATAATTAAGTGATCAAAAGCAATATAATCTGTTCTATATTAAAGCAAATGATGCAGCTTTGAAGCTAGAAATCTTTACCACTACAACTTAATATATTAGCAACAGACTATATTTGCCACATAAGTAGATCAGAAAATCATCATAACAAAATGAGCAAATATTGATGTCTTTATAAAAGTATACCTTTTCCATAAAGACTTTGAAACTTGCAAGAGACAGAAACACAACTTACAAAGTTTCTAAAATTCAGCCTTCAAAAAATCCCTTCTTCATTTGAAGTCTCTAAGCCTTGCCAAGTCTGGAAATCCACATATTCTGGGATGTAACTTGAAAATGTTTTTTTCAGTGTCTCATAGACATCAATGGTAGTTTCAAGAAAAAGTAGCAGGCATATAGCCCAATCTTTACAAAACTCTCACAGTAAACATTACGTAGCACTTCCCGTTAGGTTGTTTAGAATTATTTTCTATCTTTTCCAAAATGAATTACCAGAGCCACATCCAGTAAATTTGCAACAAACAACTGGGGGTCTTTTCCTAGCACAGATTTTTGTTTTAATCACACTTTGCTTTTTACAACAAAGTAAAACAATGGCTTTATTTACCATTGCAGTATGTTTTCTGAGACCTTTTCTTATGCCATTTAATTCATTTAGCTTCTATTTAGCTTTATTTTTATTTCAACAGCAATTAACAAAACACTAAATAGTTTGTATGAACTAGCCATCTCAAATTTATTATTTCAATCATCCTCAGATTGTTAATGTTACTTTTAAGACTGAACAGTACGAAATATTTAGATCACAATTTTTTCTGTATGCTGAAAGCATACATTTATAATCATATGACATAACAAATAAGGAACACTGAACTAACTTCCGAGCCAGAAGCCTATTTTTAAGACTTATACCCTGCCCTATCCAAAAGGCTCTAGTACCACTTCAGTTTTGCATCATCTTATAAAAGATGATGAAGTAATACAGGAAGTCATATACAGAGTACAAAAAGTTTATATGTACATTTTTAACTGTATGAAAATCCAAATGTCAGTATACTATTTAAGTATCTCATTCTCAGTTATGTGCTGCTTGATTTTACACAGTAAACCAAATATACCATAACTGCACTAAGGCAAATCTTTACACATCATCAGTGCAGTCATTAAAACA